TGACAACATTAAATTAGAGGCTTGGTCGTCATATTAGAAAAAAAATGGTACCCCTATTTATTAAGCTAACTTGATCAGGTTAAAGCAAAAGGTCCACTTCATAAGAAACACAGCACGTCAATAAACCCATTTATTTCAAATTATTGACACTCTTAGAACATTTGACAAATAAATTGTAGTAATTACATCGAACTTTATGATTACACGTACAACTACAGTATAGATTTATTAGAACAAACACATTCGCATCATTGGAGCTCAGGTATCAACATTTATACAATACTAAGTCAAATAATATTTCCAAACGTGCTTTTAAAGTGCACAATATAATAATTATAATATCTACAAAATGCACAGTACCTGGTGACAAACATTGCACATTTAACTTTAGCAAGAGACAATCAGCCAAGTCGCCGCGTATTCTATAACTCAATGATTATGACCCCTAAAACTAGCCGAGGACTCCCATCAAATAAAAACAGTTTCGTACAAATAAATGATCATTATCACACTAGATTGGCTCTTTCCAAAATTCGATGTGTAACATTTGTCGCCGGCTACTGTAAATACTCGTAATTCGTGAACAGTCTTTAACATTTCTGGAATTATTAGAGTAGCGTTACGCAGCTCATACTGTCCCAAGTTACCAACCGAGTTTCATTCTTTGTATCATGACTAGCTGTTTGCTCACGGCTTCGTTTGCGTGAATTCCCTTTTTGGGAATTCCCGTATACAGCTCAATTGTAAAATATTCCATTCCTTGCACTAGTGGACTGGGACCAGTCAGATTACATTCATTCAATTAATATATAGATTTTATACCATGTTTCAAAAACAACAAATATTATGAGATAAAGTTCGACTTTTAATGAACGTCAACTTGAATATAAAACAGCCGGCAGTATTTAAATGCAGAATTCTCATACACATATAACTTAACAGAGGCAATACCCGCCCAAATTACACTGATAATAGTAGTAAAATACACCTAATTTAAATAATAATACCCTTTATTAACACATAACATTATTATAATAATACCTGAAGTCCAATAAACACTGACATAGAATTTTGTGACTTCGTAACCACGTATAAAGATTACAAATACAATTAATGAATCGTTTACATCTATAGATTTATACCTATAATACTTAATATATTTGGCCTCTACTTGGAACATTAAACATAGTAATCTAGACGTACTTGAGACAGTGATTCAGTAGAGAGGAAAATTTACAGCGGTGCAATATGTTATGTTACATGTATGAGAATGATCTCGCCGTGAATTTAGTGCGACTATCAAGCTCAGATTTGCTATAAATAGATAAAACACATCCTATATATCATTAATATATTAAGCATATACTATACAAAATAAATAAGATGAATAAATACAAAATATACAACGTGTCATTGTTTCTTCTTCATGTGAGAAGATTTTAGACAATTTACATGCTAATATAGACAAATTATAATTATTCAGTTGCGTGAATATATTGTACATTAGTGCTAAATTGTATATAAATATTGAAAATACGGACGCAATTAAGAAATCAGAGAGACAGTAAAGAGAGACGGTATGAGTTAAGAGTGAGTTTTGTTTTCATAAAATTGTCAAACTATGGAGTCAAGTAGAAGTGTATTTTAGTATTTTTTCAAAGAGCTTATATAATATTTTATCCTAGCAAACTATGTAGAATTTAAAACTCTTAATATTATTTATGAGACATAAAAGTATTGTATTAGCCAATCGGACGAAAATTGACAAAGTCTTCAATGCAAAAACGTTTATTTCTCGATTTTATAATTTAAATGTTTTAAGCTTCAGAATATATTGGGCGGTTTTGGTTTAGGCCACTTAGCCCAGAGCGTGCAGTTAACTGACGATGATAAGTATATACGTAACGCTAGTCAAGTCAATCTGAACTTAATTACAAAGCAACTAAGGTATTTTATAGTGATTTCGATGTAATATTCTGTTTTTCACGTGACGTTTGTTGCACATTATATAGAGGACAGTATTATTGTCACGTATAGGATAAGGTTGGTGTTTCTGTGTGTTCTATGTAAATTATTTATGGCTAATAATAATTATCTAATAGACTCTGAATATAACATTACGATTGTAAAAGTCTAACAATAATACTATGTATTGTTGTCTATCCCATTGTTTAATTTATGGTGAAAATAATATAAATGCGTTCTAAATAATTTGGGTTTTACCAGACCAGTGATATCTTGTCAATTATTTTAGTTGAATTCATAATAATTTATGAATTTTCGATGTTTTATTTATATATTGTATGGTTATCTATACAATATTTTCAATAGGGATGATGACAGGGTATAAAAATTAAAAATCTTATTAGTCTATCTGTTGGATAATGAAAATATATTAGACACGTATTTTTTTATTTTGTCATATAACAAAACAATACTTAGATAAAGCGAAGCAAAGTTGAGGAGTGGGAGGTAGCTACGTCATTTTAGAGTATAAATCGTACTCAAAAGTGACGTCATGCGATATTTCAAATCAATACGAAACTATTCGTTTCCGTAAGAAAATAAAAAATATGTGACTAATGTTTTTAAATTATCTACCAGACGGACATTAAAATAAAAGTTACTCATCTACCCTATTACATTTAATTTCACCATAATCGGGATCACATAGTTTACTTATTTACAAATATGTTTTGACATGGTATGGTAGATACAATAACGACTATTGATGGAACAATTCCAGTATTTTATAGTAAATAAGAGTTCTATAGATGAATTAGAAATGTTTCTTGCTATCCAATTATGTATTGTATTGCTATGTGTAGTTGGAGTACTATATAAAAGAATAACATATGCATGACTATAAATGGTAAATTTCAATAAGTAAAACTTCAAAAAATTCTGTATTATAGTAGATAGGTACTTTTTAATTAATGTCTATTTGCCTTTGCTTCTATTTCTTTCTTTAAATTGCAGTCTGTATTATATCTATTTAAACTATTGTTGTTTTGTATTGCTTCTGGAATGACTGATATTACATAATAATAATAATAAAAATGTTTTTATAGCTAGTAATAATCTATTATTATATCTGGGGATTCGTTCTACGTGTGTTAGAATCGCTCGCAGTAGGGCGGAACCAAGTCATTGTGAGTAACAAGAAACTGAATGCAAGCGACCGCACCGTTTTGTTCCGCGACTGACTTTAACACAATAAGATGTCACGCGGTTAAAAACCGCCGCGGTTCCGCTGTACTGCGGTCGGGAATTACAGTTACAGTTATCGTAAGCTAAAGTTTAGTGTGGGTGTTGTGCGCACAATGATATTAATTCTGTGTATAATAATACTACAGTGAATTATCTAGCTAGATGTGCAACACGATCTATCGAACTGACTATAATTCATTATTATAATTTACAAACGTCAATTTCTTTTGACTTGCTTGTGCACAGACGTGACGTACTTACATATTTATGTTTATTTATAAAACTTGCACAGTAAAAAGATTTGTTGAGATATAGAATTAAATACCAGGTCGACTGCCGCCATCTACAACAGTGTATTCACAGCTACTCTGTGTACTATCAATATTAATTGATAACTCTTAATAGGTTGTATGTAGGAAATTTAGCCATTAACCGTTTAATGGAGGCTAACGTGTGTTTACTCCAGATGGCACAAATGTAGAAAGGGTATCCATTCACAGCAGTTGTCAAATTATGAACGCCCAATCGTGTGATTACTAGCTAATTCCCTATTGGACGAACAAGAGGTTCACACTAGCGTCACATGGTGAGCAAATATACGGCCCTATAGAGTTATTTGCATGTTACCTGCCTAAATTGATAATTTTGAAAGGCTTCTTTAACAATTTTCTTTGAATCGATCAACATTTATTGACATTCAATTGCACAGATGAATGAAACTTAGTTTGTTAATGTTTTATTTAATAGCTTACTGTTGCTGAATAATATAATTCGAAAAGTTTTAAGATTGGTACATATAATAAAGAAAATCTATTTTAAACGTGTATATATGTGGAGGGTGTGTTGTAAATATATTGAAATCTATTATAATTATTACTAATATTGCTATTACGGGTACAGCAAGACGCTGACGTCCCAAGGACAGGAAGACTGGGTTACTGTGTATACTGTACACAAGTAAATGTATGTGTGTGTATAAAATGCATCGGCAAAGAATTTTTGGAAGACTCTTCGTTATTTTAAGGTTATCTTAGTGTTCTATTATTATTTTATGGAATGTCATGGCAGGCTGTTGAGTCTTCTACCTAGCAGTTCTAGTCTAGGGATAAATATTTGTAGATAGCAAGAGTTAAAATCATAAATCAAACTCATTACAGAAGTACAAGGTCAATTTTTCGCAATATGCCGAGTTTTTTTATTACCCAAGAGTGATTGATATACATTACTCATATGCTGGAATACTGAAACGTTACTTAATTTTAAGTCGTGCTCAAATATCGTGCCATCTCTGTCATTTTACAAAGAATTTGTAGAGATAGAACTATACTTAAGCACGACTTAAAATTGAGTAGCGTTTCAGTATTCCGACAATAGTCATATTTTCTCAATTTGACAGCCGGCTACAAAGGCGCTATTGTGTATAAATATTGTACTATATAAACAAGTAGGTATATAAATTATACTAATGTAACATTTGTATAGTATCTATATATTTTCACTATGTATATGAAAGAAAGTGGCAGTAGCTGTCATTAACATAACTAAATGTAAATAAATAATAATAATAATTAACAATTACAATACTTGATGATTAATAACAAATTAGAAATTCAGAGGTGAGTGCAAACCTTACAATGTGATAAATTAGGCCCATTATTCATTTATACATTTTAAAATTAAGCCATATTCCATTAGAATCTATATGTCTGCCGAAGTTTAGCACGTACCTCTGAGTCCCAAGCTTTGTTTCTCTTAGACCTTTGAAGCTGGGGTCGCCGATGACGCTGGGGTCATAGCATGGGGAAATGCGAGTCACAGTTATGGTGCAAGGCTGCAGCCAGCACTGCGTGTAGAGCGTGCGACCTTCCCGGCGGAGGCAGGAGAGAGAGGACTCGACTCTCCCCGATCGCGGTACCTTCAGCCCCAGTGTAACGCGCCACGCGAGCCATTGCCGCTGCGCTTATCTGATTGAGATAGAAAAAGATAAAATACTCTGTATGTCTTATTTACAGATACTATAAATATAATATTATCATTTAAGCGTTCTCAATACTAATAATACGAGTGTATGTCAAAAAATGCGTATGCGCAACACCGCGTATATGTCATGGTTTTAAGTTCATTGAAAGAATTTATCACCTACATTATTTCAATTAATAATCTAACAAGCGTCCAACCTAGAAATTAAAAAAACATCGTCTAGTTCCAACAAAAATCATACGACGCGGCTAATTATTCCTGTATTAATTAACATACCTGGTATTCCTCATCTTCATCAGGCATCCTGGTTTCCAACAACTTGGACTGTCTCCTTTGCATCACGCACAGCTATGAACAAAGACCATAATAATCAGAAAATAGTCCTGTTTACCATGTAAGACGTATCACATACGTCCCTATGTATAAAAGGAATTAGTAGAAAGGTAGGTTCCTATTATGCATATGTAAGTTACCTCAATAATTTCTCCTTGGTACGGGCTCAGGGTGCAGTACCTGAAGTCGATCATCTCCATGATTCGCTCCGACTCAGGGTCAGCCACGATCAGGAACTGAGGAAGTCAAAATGATGTGAGTTATTATTGGCCCAATACACTTTGAAGTAAATCTGCAACTTCTACTTAACAGTATATCACTTGTGGAGGCAATAACGAGAAAACCAATGATACAAGCAACTGATGTCAAAACTATTTTGAAGAATAAATTGAGAATATTTGACCTATAAAAACAAAATCAACCAATATAATAATTGCTAGGAAGTAAACTTGTAAAAGCTACACTGATTGGACAAATGCAATCGCCAAACTAGCGGCATCTTGTGAGTGCAAAATCAAAACTAAGATTAAATCGATCCACTCGGGACATTTGACCTTACTTATCATCACAAGGTACTTTAAATTGACTTGGTTTACATGTAAAATGTAAGGCTTTACCTTATGTGTGACCAGTAGTTGTAGCTGCGCGTTATCGACCAGGACCTCGAATCCGGTGAATGCGTTGAGCTCGCACATGCGGAACACCCAGCGCACGCAGTCTCTGTGCCAGCCAGACTGCGCGCGCGGCTGGATCGAGGATGATAAACGGCGAGGCTGGAAGGAAATAGTGTAGGTCATTTATTACTAGCTTTTTGGACACTTCTTGTACAACAGTACTAATACTGTTAGAATTTTTTTAGGAATTGAAGATAAATTGAATTTGGAATTGTAGAGAATTAAACATAAATGATAATCGTCAACAGTTTCAATGAAATAAACGATGGTTTTTACTTTCAATTACAGATGTTTTCAATTTCACCCTCTCCCCTTTCCCCCCCGGTGTTCCAGGTGTCCATATAGGGGCGTCGATTACTTACCATCAGGTAAATCATCTACTTGTTTACTTCTATAAACATTAAAATTAACAGGATTTTTAAACATTCTCAAACCTCAGGTACAGGATCCCAGCCAGTCTGTCGGAGCAGGCCGGAACCAGCATAGGCTACGAGGTCAGCAGTAGCGCTGAGCGGCTTAGTGAGAGCTCCGAGGATACCGCGTCGCAATGCCGCCGCACCACTCTCTGTCTCCCCCACTGCCACCCCCACTAGGGGGTGATGCGCAAGACCACCCACTGCTCCTGCAGATAGAAGTGATGGTTGATAATAATTTGTCCGTTAAGGTTGGAGAAAGAAAAAAATAGTTGATAGAAGTAATTTATTATGGCAGTTATTTATATTAGAAAAGTAGAAAATATTTGATAAAAGGAATAAACTATGTTTAAAAATACCGACTTCAATCCCCTCTTTTTTGAAGTCGATTATAAAGTATTTGTACAATGATAAAAGTCGATTGTCGTTTATTATTGCGCCTAAAACTAAAGAATTTATAATACTCAAAGTTCGGAGAAAGTTTCAGAAATGAAGTCGCTTGCGCATATAACATAAAGCAAGTATTTTACCGAGTATGTTAATAGCGAAATTGGTGATGCCAGCGACAAGTCCTGCTACGAAGCTGGGCGGTGGTCTTCTTCTCGCCGCTGCGGCACGCCTCGCATGCTCTTCATCACCAGCCAGCAAGTCCAGGTTCCTCGCTAGAGACCCTGCCCATGCGCTCAATGACCGAAGCAGCGCTGCCGCCGCAGCGGAGGCTACGCCCCTCACACCACCCGTGGCACCGCCCAAACGAGCGGCTAGGGCTCCAGGCGCACCCAATAACTCCAAACCGCCGACTACCCAACCTAATAAAACATATTACTTTAAGACGGTATCCTTAAATTAAAAAATACATAGTGGCTAAGGTTTGGATGCATGGAGATATGTGATGGCGGTGGTGATAGCAGTGGTGATTGTGATGGCGGTAGTAATAGTAGTCGTGATGGTGATTGCGGTGATAATAGTAAGGTTGATTATGATGATGGTATTGGTGATTGATGTTGATGGCGGTGGTGACAGTAGTGGTGATGGTGATGACGGTGATAATTGTTATGGTGACGGTTGTCGTTATGGTGATGATGGTGGTGGTGATGTCGATGATGGTGATGATGACCCTTAGGATTATAAAATGTAAAAGTAACTTACCTGCTCCCAATATGGCGGCAGACAGGTAATGCACGGTGAGCGCATGCGTGAGGCGTTCCGCTGACGTCATCATGTCATGTAATTTGAAAGCACTCAGGCGCAGCGGACTTTGATCCAGAGCTATGTACATTCGCACCTGGAATACAAATGGTATTAGTATGCAATTTTAATCTTTTAACCATTTTAAAAGCAATACTGAAGTCCTAAAACTTATATACTTTAACCTTAATAAGACCTAAATGCGGTTCCCAAGAAGTGTGTCCGAAGTGGTTGGGGATTATGGCAAACTCCCACATCCATTGTTAAAGAACGAACATCCCCTTGTCAAAAACCTAGTAAGGTCAACAATGTAGACATGCTTCATATTGTTTTCTTGAAATTATAGTGAAATAATAAATAATCCTGTTTTTGGTTACTTACGGCAGTATGAAGCGTCAATGTGAGATCGAGTGGATGGACATGCAGCACCCTGAGCCGCAGTGGTTTCTGTATGGACCTCTCCTCGCTCAGTGAACCTTGGTCGCTGGCGCTGGCCGGGGGGAGCAGGAGATGGGACATGTCTACTAAAGCCTTTATGAAGGCATCCTCCACGTAAAGAGCCAGAGTACCCACTCTCAGATCCACTTCTGTTAATTCTGCGGAATCATATAAATTGTGGTCAGTTAAATTGTGTTACTGTGCTTACTAATATTATAAATTGGAAAGTGAGTTTGTTTGTTTGTTTGTTCCGCTTTCACGCCGTAACTACTGAACCGATTGCTTTGAATTTTTGCAGACGTAAAGTTAGAAGTCTGGATTAAATAATAGGGTACTTTTTATCCCGGAAAAATTTGATATTCCCGAGGGAAAACAAAAGTTTTGGTATAGATGGCGCTGTGTGCATTGGTATATGTCACATAGGTTACTTTTTATCCTTTTGTGATGCGAGCAAAGCTGCGGGTAAAAGCTAGTCAGAGATATTTAAGGATTGTAACGCGTCAATTCGATTTCAGTTTGTGTCAGACGCACGCGCGTATCTCTAGTGGCAACGCCACCTCACTATACCTCTTCCTCCTCTTCCCCGCCACTGACCGCCCGTAGTTTGCTTAGGAGCGTAACGTCACAAGGAGTCTCGCGCCTGTGCCGTGTCGCATGCGCCGTTTTTATAAATTGTGAACTTTATGTACTAAGTTTCTACCAATAGAGGTACATAAGTTTACAGTCAATCGTGTGTAACTTTATTCCACGCCCCTAAGAAAGCGACATCATACCTTTGAATTATTACTTAAACTATTCCTTAGTAACGTTTTTTTCCAAAAACGGTCATTGACTTTATCGAATCCCTGAACATTGACGGATACGTTTCCTAGGTAGAAACTTCAGTTCGTTGGATAGAAATACCATAATGTTCCACCAATCAAACCACTAATAACAGTAAATTATTGTAACATTGACGCAAGTAATTTAACAGTAGTGCGCACGCGCAGACATCTGATTTTCTTTCGCAAAACGTCCCCCACTGTTATGAGTCCTTGGAGTGAGTGGAAACTAGTCGTACAACCGCCTCGAAAGTTACTTGCGTGAGCTATTCAATATAACTAACAAGTACTTAATGATGTGTGACGATGATTAAGGTCTACGCAGACGGAATGGCAAGAAATAAAATGTTTGCAACTGAACTTTTAAGTGTATTGATATAGAAATACAACATAAATTGCTATGCTTTTTAATTGATACCGAGGCATCGAAAGAGATTTTCTTCCACGGCAGTGAGAGACTGTGCCTGTGTATCAGGCAGCAGGCTTTGGCGTGCCACGGTACGCCGTGGCAAGGTGCTGGTATGTCATGGAATCTAAGCAGCTAGTGTGCGCTGACTGACAGCAAAATCCCTTGACCTCCCAGTCTGCGTAGGTTTTTATCATACAAAAAAACACAAAGTGTATGTAATATCACATACTAATTCGTTCATCATCTGACCAACCTTTATATTTATTATTGACGACTTCCCACTTGTCATGCTGTAGTTGAAGTTCAAGTCTCGCAGTGTCCGCCCTGGTGGCGAAGGTCTCTCGTTCAGAGAACATGTTCCACAGAGGGGGCCACCGGTCGGGCTCCAGGGGCTCGGCACGAGTGCTTGCTATCACTGCGAAGTCATACTGTCCCGTCTCGTACTGCAAGTTATCTATCTGCGCGTCCGCTATTGACAGGATTGTTTTTGTTTTCTGTAGAGGATGGAAGCAACATTGTAATTATATAATGTAATTATGAATAAATTACTGGGATGTATATATTTGTGCGTATGCGTTTGTATGTAAGTGTGTAAAATATTAGATGCGCACGCGCATGTGTATGTATATGCGCCTCAGTGGTGAATGGTTAATAATAAATACTGAAGATCGAACTAAAAGGGCTGCATATAAAATATTCTTTTTAGGCAACAGGATTGACCCTCTGATTGGCCGGATCCAATAAACCAACCAATCAGAGCGCGCCGAACGCGGTCTCATTTCGATTATTTTAATCGTAAAACAAACTCGTAATAAGCCCCTGTTATCAAATTTCCAAAACATCTTATATTGTTGGCTTACATTGACACTAGACACTAAATTGTCTCTGACCTTGCTATCGGACTGCATGAGTATTGCGGTGCGGTCGAGGTGCACCGCCAGTAGTGGTATCACATCGGATGCGGCCGACAGTTCCACCGAAACTCCTGCGATGACGCAGCGGAACCGCTCCATATTCCCTGCGGTTTCATCCATTTGGTCGAGTTCTGTAAATTGACATCAAATTAGCAAAGCTTCTTACACTTACCGTAAGATTTCGACGATATTAAAAAAAAAGCGGGGCTGCGCTCATCATTCGTGAATAAAAAAAATTTACTTGAGTTTGACCTTTAGAATCCGACTACAAATGTCATGCAATGATACAGTAGATACGTTACGCCTCCGTCAATTTTTACAAAGAAGCAATCGACCTTTATCTCATACGCAAGAACCGCGACTTGTTTGACTGAGTTGGTTAACTGATGTTTTACTTGTTTTGAATAGTAATCCTTATCGCTTTTTATACGCCGATTGGCATAATAAGAAAGGGAGAGAGTGTTAATAACAAAATATTTACTTCCATTACATTCTGGTCGTGATGAAGTGAAAAAGTGAAGCTAACGAACTGTTAAGAACAAAAAGCACACTTACCGGGCTCCAAATCTTGGTTCTGAAACCTTGTATCAGATGCGTACATGAAACCGGAGTTTTTAATTATGCGGCTATTTGAGCCTTCCATAGATGTAGCCCAGTACACACCACCATCCTGGCTAAGAGACCCTGCAATATTGAGATGCTATTGTAGAAGTTATATACTTTAACACCGTCTTAACTTAATACAGTACTAACGAACTAGTTTGCGCAAATAGCGCAAAATTTTTCGCAAATTGCGCAAAATTTTTCGCAAATTGCGCAAAATTTGCGCAGGTGCCAGAAATTTTGAGTAGATATTACTACTTAAAAAGTGCACAAAACATATTTCTAAACTTAATAGCTAGGTAGAACTACGGCCAATGTCTATTTTTGTTAAACTTACTCTTTTTTCTAAACTTATAATCCGAGTCTTCGCCTTTCCCAGTGGATGATGATCGTAATTGATGCGTAACCTGGCTTTCGTACATCTCCCCGCTTACATTGACATCTCCCGGAGAGACTACTGCAAAGAATTTATTAAAGAATTTGAAAATTTTGCGGATTAAATTAATTTTACGACTGAAGCTTAGACGCCATACTGTACAGGTAAGGTACAAGAGAAAATATGAAGTGACTAGCTCGCACTTCTTTCAGAAGTTAGGGGCGGGTGTACAACCAATTATGCGCAATTTTTTATTCGTCATATATAATATAATATAAAATAAAATAAAAGGAGTGTATAAAGTTTCCAGCAGATACGTCTACATCTGACGAACTTTGAGGGTGTGTATAATTCACCCCTTTCAGCCGTTTTTTTACAGAGGCCCCCTGTATTCTTGCTCATCAGATGGCGCTAATGTGTTCCTCTCGTTTTTCGTCCTATTGGACGATACTTGATAATTCCCTATTGGAAATTGGGAATTAGCAATTCCACTAACTACATTATACATCTTATTTCCAATGTTTAGAGACTACTTTTGTATGAACAAATTGAGGGGGTGTTTTCAACAATTTTCAACAGGTTAATCGGAAGGAGTATGTACAAGAATGAACTTACCTCGGCAAGCAGCACCCACTCTCTCCAAACTCGGCACAGCTGTCACGACCGGTTCCTGCAAACACAACATTATTGCAAGGTACAGCTTCGCAGACAAGACTTGATTAATTGAGGTCGCTAGTATCGTCTTTATGGCAACTTCGTACTCTACGACTCAATCGGATTTGATATTTGTTATTTTTATCGAGTTTAAAAAAGGGGGGTGGGATAATCATTAAAATATCACCTATTACCGCTAGGGATCTTTTCACGGGCCCTACTATTTTTTTTAATGTTTTATTATACATCTTGTAATGTAAAGCCGGATAGCACGACATACAATAAAGTTTTCAACTTGAGAACAAATGCTTCATACGGAATGGGGAAAACATTGGCTTACCTTATTAAGAGTTAATTCTTCGGTCTCTATCACTCCCAGCAAACGGCGTCTGATGTCACTTGCTGATATGTCGTTCTGAAATTATCCATTGCGCAAGTCAGATTTGAATCCGAGGCAAACTGAGTAGTCAGGATAAGCAAACTTTTTTAAAAGCTGCTCCATACTAGGTCCTGTGTTGTAAGTGCATTTACAAACATATTACACCTAGACCAGAAACAACAATTTGCTGATTACACAAAGAGCTGTTCCTTGCGAGAATAGAACACATGCGCGTTGCGCAGGAGCCGGTTAGCCAATCACTGCCGCATCCTTACATACATAGTCATCAACATGCCAGAACCAGAACCGGGTAGATTCTAATAAATTCATCCTTTACTATTGTAATAGAGTTTAACTCCCAGGTCGATAAGTATACTGTTGGACTTCTTCTACGGAATTCTTAGTAATAATACCATAGTATTTGTAACATGTTCTAAAACTATTACAAGCCACCGAAGGAGCATTCTCTAAATAAAATTTAGCTACCTTCAATACAATCAATACTAATAAATGTAGTAATCGTGGCCAACCTTCGAAGGGAAAATAAATATTTGTTAAAATATTACATCAATATCAAATTCAGTATTTGTTGGTACGAATTGATTTATATAAGTACATACATAATTGATTTTGATGTACAACCAAAAATAGACGAATTATATGCGCCCAAAGTTGATATATCGATAACTGGCATCCTTCTTGCAACAATATTTAAATATACAAAGGCTCATTTTAAAAATTACGTAATAAACAAATATACTAAATGGTTTTCAAAAGTATATCATACTTGGTCAACATCTTGTAGTTCGAGCAGCGTAGAGTGTGGATGGGTGCGCACGCGCAGTTTGATGGTAATACCGCCATAGTATTGCAGGAGGTGTTCCCCGTCCGCAGCCACTACTGGGGAACACCACTCCTGCTCTAACTCTTCTGTAATTTACATATTATTGTTAATACACAAACGAGGATCAAAGAATTGACTTAGAAATTTATATTTATGTTGTGTCATGTTCTAGTTTGTTACAGATAAAATTATGTCAGATAGAGGGCAGTGTAAAAAAGATCTCATTAAATAAACCTATCACAGTACAACTTGCTTCAGCTAACGACTTCTCCCGCGTCCCCTTGGAATAATATAAGTCTATGAGTTATTCCAAACCATACTACCCCTGTTCCAAATTTCAAACCCGATCTTTTCAGCCGTTCTGACGTGATTTAGTAACAAACATACACACAAACACACAAACTCTTAAACTTTCGTATTTATAATATTAACTAGTAAGAAGTAAGACGTATACAAGAGAAGATTGAGTTACAAATGATATGACGAAAGAGTTTTCATTAAATACCTAGACGTCCAACATGACAGTTTCAAAATCAATAGAAATTACCTTTTCCTTTAGCAAATGTAAGGTAACACGAGGCGACAGATGTCGCTGGCATTCCTTCGGGCGGATAGCGGGCACAATGCGCAGGAGTCGAATAGTGAACCGCCGCGTTAGGTGGCACCATACAGCACCATCTTGTTCCTGCGCATTCTGTTACTGCCTGTGAATCAAAATAGTATGTTTGTTTGTACATACAAGAATATGCTAGGACAAATACGATGTTTTAGATTTTGTATACCAAATAAAATAGCAGGCAAAAGTTTTGGACAAATTGTGTTATACGGCATACTTGCGTAACTATAAGGTGACTCACTCTGTCATGCAAGATGCCTATGACTATGAGCCCCTAGCGTGACTTGAAACTAGTCAAGGTACCTTGTTAAACAGTTACGTGAGCAACGCCCGAATATTGAAAGGCTACCCAAGTTTAAGTTGCCCTTAAATATCGTTATTTTATATAGAATTTTAAGTGACAGCTAACTTAAACACGACTTCAAATTTCAGTATTGAGTTTGAGTATTTCAACATATATTTAATGAGAGTCCAAAAGTTAAGAGCCTTCTAACTCACCACAGTATGTGAAGTGGACGGTTCCTCAGGGAAGTGCACCGGTTGTGCGACGGCTAACGTGAGGCGGGTGTGGTTGTGGACGAGGAACTGAGGACACGGGTCCGGCGCCACCACCACCAGCCAACGGTTGTCAGTCTTTATCTGAGTCACCACTATTGGCACCTGGATGTAACAAAACGTTATAATAGTATGGACCTGTGATTCCGTAGTAGCTTACGAGATACCAAGTAAAGTTCGGCCCGTAAGTGTAGAAATTTGTTCGATAATGATTTATAACACGCTTAGGCCAATAGACCTAGAAATCATCAGCCCTGCACATATATATTATTTAAACCAGTGTATTATAATCTCGCTTTGAATGAACTTTTTAGGCATTAAACGGTCAGTGTAGTGGACTACAGCCTACATAGTACATTCATTCGTTATAAATTATCATCAGTCTTTTTATTAATTTATTTTACAGAAAAACACAAATTACTTACCGACTGCATAGACGAGTCAATGAGCGCTACGGCTCGTCGTAACGGTTGCACCCCGAGCCGGATTGGGACGGGGGCCTGCATCGGGTTCATGCCGGACGACAGAGACAGACACAGGTACGTGCGCAGCTCCGACGGGTCCCCGCCGCGCCAGCGCCCGCGCAGCCAGAAGCGAGTCAGTGGAGTTCCGTCGACGCTGCGGGGAAAAAAGGGAAATAACTAAATAAGCAACGTGCGGTTCCACGGTGAGAGCGGTGTAGAGTGGTACAGAACGGGGCTGAGCTGTCAAAATAAGTACGTATTTCCACTGAAGTGGAGCGGGCTGGAGCGAAGCAGCTTTACTCGCATCATGTACCGCCTGGTGCATGCGTTCTCCACTCCTCGTAGCTCCTCTCTCGGCACCAGTCTAATCTAACTTGTTCTCCCGATATTTTAATCACTTGATATGAATCCCCAAAATTTGTTCAAACAAAAGTAGTCTCTAAACATCGGAAATAAGGTCGAGTGGAGAGCAATCACCGGTGAAACATAGCGATAACTTTACGGAAAAGTAATCCTCGCTCGCGGGAAAGGATGGGGCGGCGACAATATTGCATTATATTCTACTGTTACATTTGTTCTTGTTGTACGAATTAATTTTGATTAGTACCTATTAAAAAAACTCGTTTAACATTACAAGATACAAATAACAGTGGTTACAGTACCTTCCCTCCTTAACAGGCATGACCACTTTGAATGACTTGGGGCGCAGGGTCGTGTACTCGTTCATGTCGTTCGGAACTGCTACCGCTGACACCTGTGTGTTTGTAGTGAGAACATAAGTTAAGCTAAAGTTAAGTGAGTAAGCTGTAAAATATACCCAATTTATACGTAATGAATTCCGCGAAAGTTGTAATACAAATATTGTCTGAAAGATTTCTAGTTTTTACCCACCCTGCGCAGGCGCATACATCGAGTTAACTCATTATTTTCGTGCGAAATTTATAAAATATTCACTTAGTGGCCCCTACGACCATAAAGGAAATTTTTTACATTAGATTATCTATCATTGATGAAGTAATGATAATTAACGTAATTTCGTAGTATTACAATAGTTCCACGTACCAAGAGTTCCGTGTCGAGTCTGTTTATGAGTACGTAGGAGGTGGACACGCCGAGCACGTTGATCTCCTTCTTGATCTCATAGTATAGGGTCAGCAGCGCCACCTGGGGTATAGCAACAATCATCATCATCAACAGCCTATAAATGCCCACTGCTGAGCAAAGCCTCTTCTCACACGGAGAAGGTTTGAGCATTAATCACCACGCTTGCTCAATGCGGGTTGGCGATTACAAACTTATAATTAGAAATTATAAGTCCAGGTTTCCTCACGATGTTTTCCTTCACCATTTGTCAGTGGTGTCAGAATAATCTTAGAAAGTACATATAACTCGGAAAAAGTCACATTGGTACTTGCCGTTGGTAGGTTTCGAAACCGCACCCTCATGCATGAGAAGCGGGCGTCTTAAACCTCCGGGCCACCACGACAGATTGTATAGCAACAATACTACCATTAAAAGATATTACTTGTATTACGTATTAAGAATGTGTAGATGTTATCAAAATACCTTAAAATTCTTTTATTTACTTCAGAATTGAACTCGAAAACTCTTAAGCGCAAGCGCAACAGATAGAACAGAAAACATGTTCTGCCTATACATTATTAACATAACTATTGTAGTTGATAGATTTATTGAGGAGCTATAGAGCTATTGAAGTTCGTTGTACATATCTCAGCGAAGCATACTTCATTGGTACTCTTTTTGATTTCATCAGACAAAAGCAAGTTATTAAGAACAAGTAAGCGGATACATACAGAAGTATAGGTATTACCTTCTGGTTGCAGAGTATAGCGAAGTTGGTAGCGTGGTCAAGCGCGACGTGTCCTGGCGGCGGAGTGCCGTACCGACCAGGGTCTTCCGCTGACACCTGTAGCTGACTGCTCACGAACGTCTCGCGACCCATCTCCACTGACATGAAGAACGGTTTCTGGAATAATGTAGTAACTTGCAGTGCACGGTGCAGCTAATAGCTATGCTGAATTTAAAAAATTCTTTCTATTCCAACTGCTTGAGGGTAGTTCGGTAAAACAGCTTTGAGAAAGAGGCTTATAGAAGAATTTTTTTTTAAGGGGGGAAAATCATCGAATTACTGCTCCCGCCTGGGTGAGGCGGAAAAGAGTGTCAGACTCTTACTGACTAAAACCCACCCCATTCCTTCTCCTGCACGTCGAGCCGGAGCCCCGGTTACCCGTTAGGTTCCCCGCGACCTTATAGAAGGATACAGATTGGTTAGGTTGCATGTCATTTGATTTAGCAACCCGTCGCGGCAAAGGCTGGTAATTGTCAAATTACTCGCTGATATCGATTGATTGACTTTTATGATCTTGAATTTGGTCTAAAAGTTCATGCGTGAGGTCACTTTTTTATTGAATAGATCGGGAAACGTAAACATTGAGACCACTTGGGGGGGGCGATTGGCGTTGCTGAAATCTCACTCACACGGCGAAAGAAAAAGCAAGCAAGCAAGCGTTGTTTCACGCCGGTTTTCTCTAAGGCCGTGGTATTACTCCGGTCGAACCATCCCTCGAAGCGTGGTCTTCCACGTGATAAATAGACAATGTATAATTATGTGCGTCATACCTTGATTATAGTAGTGGGTGGTGAAATAGCAGTGCCTGGTTCGAGCTTGCAGAGCGGCGCGGCGTCGTAGGCGCGCAGTGTGAGCGGTATGGGCGTGGCGTTGCACATCAATGCTACTGGACACAGCTGGATCTCCAGGCTGCAGCCCCCGCCAGCGCGCACGGCGGTGTACCGCACCTGCTCACGACATGATCATCGTTAAATGTGCCAACGTTAAACGCCATAGACCGACGTTAGTGAAGGACTTGCCTTCAACAGTTTTCTATTGGAAGTCAAACTTAAAGGGCTCACCTTTTCGCGCAGTCAATGAATGTTAGTGCAAATTTTATTTTGACAGTTTTAAAGTAACACTGTAAATTGATCTGTATCGATTTTAATCTAAGTCGGAATATTATGATTCAATCGGGCACGCAGCGAATACGAAACGTACAACAATCTCACCCCAGAGGATGCATTGCGAATACAGCAAGGTTGCGCAGAAAGGACGTGGCGGACGAGTGGTACATACATTTTTTTTTGTTTGAGTAACATAGTAAATCGTGTTCCACTCCCGCGACGTCCTCTCCTCTTGGTTAAACTGTCTCATTTTAGATTGAACCTAATTTAATGTACTTACAGTGACATCACATCGTGGTTGTATCGATGCGGCTACCCACTCTCCACTCCAGTGTCTAGCGACCACAGAGTATGGCCATTTAGACGTTGCATTATGTGCCGAACGATTCAACCTAGAAATTAAAATATGTTCCTACATTAATATTAACATGGACTTATAGTTTTGTCTTGTTACTCCTAAATTATTATTGTTTTTAAATTTGAGGACGCTTGACTACTTTCGTGCTACACCGGGACTCTTAATCAGTCACCTTAGTGGATTTTGGTTGCTACTTTACATGGATAATCCTGTAACTTATTGTAAATACGATAAAAAAAACGCAAAAAGCGAGCCACCAAAGGCCTTGTCACTTTTAAACCTGCTTGTAGCCGCTTAAGGTGCTATAGGCGTACCTTCATTATTATCATCCCGCTAATAGTAATAATTTCCGGTCCAGAATTCCACCAAGAGCATCACCCGCTGTATAATATCATATTCCCCTCACAGCAATAATTTCCGGTCCAAAATCCCACTAATAGCATATCCCGCTAATAGCAATAACATTTGATCCAAAATAGCTTACCAGCGCTGGATATCCTTGATGACGTCATCGACGTTGAGTACAGGCGATCGTTTGTCAAACACGGAGGTGTCGGTCACACCGTAGTGTAAGGGCACCGCCTCTCTCGTCACTGGACACTCGATGTTCCTGTAGGAGATATTAATAACTATATTTGTGTTTTTGTTTGCGGTTGAAAGATATTATGAATTCGTAACGTGTCTATAACTAGAAAGAAAGATAATCTAATAGATCTATGAGTTTTGAGATATTTTTATCCTGAACTAGGCATATCGCTTAATCCTATTTCATTTGTTTTTTTATAGGATGATTACGTATAAAATATGGTAGAGTTAGGGAAATAAAAAATGTTGATGCCGTTCTATAGTTCTGTTAGAGATATTACTATATAGGTATTTGTTAATATTAAAAAACTGAATACAACACTTACTTTTTCGGTAATATGCTAGAAAATATTGTGAACATTAATAAAAGTGAAGGACTACATACGTCGTACACAAACTTATTTTTTTCTATGCGAAAGCTGAATAGTTTGTTCAAAGCCTTTATTTTATCTTTCAAGTATGTTTAAATTTGAAATTGCGCAGTAATATTACGACAAGCATGGCCACCAATATGATTCATTTTGACAACAGGGAAGTCGTAAGCCACGCGTATTGCTGACAACGTATCCACTTTCTTTAGTTGCCCGGTTGATCAGCGCGCCATTAAAGGGTAACCGTTTTTACTCACTAGATGGCGCAAAAATAGGAACAAGGTATTTTATCCAATCACAACAGCTGACAAATATTAAACGTCCAATGGTGTGACACTAGCCAATTCCCTATTGGACGAACAATGAGACGTTCACTAGCGCCATCTAGTGAGCAATAATACGGTAGGCCCAATTTCGTGACCTGAACTGTAATCTATATATATAAAAATGAAACCCGTTTCCCGTTGTCACACCATAACTTGAGAACGGCTAGACCGATATAACTGATTTTTTTTTTGTTGTGTTTGTTATTGTCAGAATGTTCTTATGACAGAAAAAGTCCTGGAATTCCTACGGGAACAGGAGAAAATGGGATTGCGCATACGAAGTCGCGGGCGAAAGCTAGTAATGATAATAATTATGAACAAAGACGAAATGGTCATGAACGAATTACACTTATAAGTAAAAATCCTTAAACGTGAGATACATACTTATACTGGAAGGACAGACTATGCCTGGCCGCAGTAGTGCCAGGCGCCTGTAGGTGAGTGCTGGACCCTCGACCCGGTGAGGTCTGTAACAACGGTGGAGGCCGTGACTGCTGCGAATCTTGGTCCTCCGTCGTCGGTACAGGCGCTTCTGTTACTATCAGTACCTGGTGGATGGAGAGAGGTAATTTATAAATACCAGCGGGAAGTGTAGTGACAGATGTATATATTCTACTCTGCTCTTGTATAACAATAACATCAACATATTAAACTTACTTCTGTGTCTAGCGGTAAATGTGAATGTAACACGTATAGAGGCCATACAGTAGCAAGGATACGCCCATCGTTGCGCCCGCGCACCACGCGACACCATACTGATACAAATTGGGTTTCTCCTTCCGTTGGTACTGCAAAAGTTATAAAAATAACATAGTTATATGATACTGTTTATTGTAACCATCAATCATGCATGGATCCTTAGTTGAAAAAGAAACGACAACATTCTGTGATTCAGTTTATAAATTCTCGAATCATTCCGTAAGTTCACAGCTCTGTTTCTGATACGGAGCCGCGGAGGACTTTACGGGTTGTCGGATCTCCGGTTCGAAGTGCAGAAATAGGAACGGGGTGGTTTTTAGTCAATAAGAGTCTGTCACCCCCTTCCACCTCACCCGGGCGGAAAAGGTCACTCGATGATTTTTTCACCTCAAAAAAAAGTGGGAAATTATTATTTGCGATGGATTACCTAATGGTGATGGTGGTTAGCAATCTGCTAAATCCCACTAACACGACTCATACAAAGCTGTCGTAGTACCACGCCACCGTTTGTCCGGCCGTGGTATGAGTCTGGTCCAGTTTAGCCAAAGCACGGCCCTCCCAAGGCAAAATAACTAAATATATTCAGTGTATTAATAACTTTATAAAAGATTACAATATTTACCTTTGACCAACCACGGTACGTTTTCTTTAGGGCACTCCTTAAGCGGTATGTCGCCTGACCAGCAGGTGTTGTGTGATCTCAGCTTTATTCTGTAACCAAATTGACATCGAGAAATTATAACTGAAAGAAATTTGACAATTCAAGACGCAGGTATTTTAAAGAGTTTTCGATATTGTGTATCAATTTCATAGTAAAATCTGGAATAAGATATTGTTGCAAATAATAAAATACATATTATTACTTATCTTTCTAAATAATCGTACATTTATTTCTAATTAATAAAAGTTACCTAAACTTCTGCTACTTATGACCAAAGCTGGGCACCGTTAATCAAATAGTTAACTTCGTTAATCGTTAATCCGCTACAAAAAAGTTAGCTCCGTTAAACGTTGAAGCGTTACATTTCGGAAGAATTAACGCAAGTTAACGTTAATCGTTAATCCGTTAATATGTGTAAAATTACATTTTTGCCACTGCTAGTAGCTGCAATCCCGAATGATTCCCCGACGGCCAGCTGTCGTCCCTGTTGTATTCTTCTTTTAATAGGATTAGGGCTACTTGTGCTATCATTGTCAGAATGAGAGAGTTCTCCTTTTTCTCTTGCCCCGGTTAGAGCCCGCCTTAACAATCTCTTCAAACTGCGTACAAGGCGGGCGGTACATGAGTCACAGTACGTATACTGTGACTCATGTACCCTTTGTACATGTCATTTCAAATTATTCAGGCTTGATACATGAACTTTTATTTTGGTGTCTTTCAGCAAACATCGCTTACACTCAAAAAGTATTTGCTGGCCCGATCTGGCTACAAATTCCACATACACAGTCAAATGTGGCCATGGATTCTCATCAGCATCAATGGAATTCGATTCCATGTCTTCCATGATAATTACTTGGTTTTAATTACTACACTGCACAATACACTTTTTTAACTAAATTAACAAAACACTCGTCACTGGAGGCACCTAGCGCCGGTGCCTCCAGTGACGAGTGTTTTGTTAATTTAGTTAAAAAAAGTAATGAAATGATCAAAAGAAAAAAATTCTTCGCAGTTTTCTCACTCGCACACGCCGGCCAAATATATCTAGTTTTGTTTTTGTTTCACGCGCTGCCACGCGATTTATCATTTCATACTTGTCTGAACCTGTTTTTCGCAACGCGCGGTGCCGCGGTGCCGTGCGGTAAATTGTAGGCATTGGGTTAACGATTAACGGACTTCTGCATTTTAACGGATGTTGACGTGTCCGTTAAGATTTTTAAAAGTTAACTTAAAAGTTAATCCGTTAATAAAATTGTTAACTAACGATTAACGGATTAACAAGTTAATGCCCAGCTATGCTTATGACACATAGTGTCGTAACTAATGGTCGACCGAAACTAATTTTCCGGCCGAAACCGGAACCGAAACTCATGCGGACAAGTATATTTTTTTTAATACTGAAACTTGGTATTTCACCTATTATAATTACTATTTTGCATCTATTAACATACAAACATAAAACTTACATGCCAGTTCATTCAAAACATAACCTCTAAAGAATGTTTGCGCACTCGCACTGACTAAGTTTTGTTGCTACAGAGTTATCCGAACAAAGCACGACTATTTCCGAATACGGCCGACAGGGTCCGCCAAAGCACTGCCGCGGGAATCGGGAGTTAGGGGAGCGTGAACGTGTGTGTATTTGCTACATAAGTTTCGGTTTCGGCTGCCACCGAAACTTGTTTTTTTGGTCGAAACTGGCATCACACTTTCGGTCGGACGCTCTAGCAGTAGGGGTGGTGACAGATATTCGTTGCCACCTCAATGCCGTGGTTATTTTGAAGTTTAATCTAGTACAAAAAGATCCTTACTTGAGCACCATGTCACAGTCGGCACTGCAGACGACGCTGTGACCGATGGTTTCCGCCGTCATCTCACCCGAGCACAAAGTCCGCCATTGTGGAGCTTCACTGCAGTGAGCACGAACCTGCACATACGTAAACCGCCTTGAAATGAAAGGTTCATTGGGTATTGAACGTCTTCTGGCAGATAATGATGATCGAATCACTCGAGGACTAAGTAAAAAGTTGGTTTAAAATCTCCAACAATTATTGTCTACAATGCATGGGACATACATAACATCAGGGGAGATAGGCAGAGATGCACATTACGGCAATGCAACTGTACAATATGTACCACCTACTTTTCACTATTTATGTTATGAGTCCCATGTAATAGGGGGTGAGTTTATTGCACAGGACAATATTACAAAAAAAAGTAGTAATAATACAAAAATGAGCAGTAATCAATTAATGTATCAGGTACTTTGTAAAGTAGTGTGGCTCGCAGCATGTTGGCAAGCACCAATCTCCCGGAGAGGTGCATGGTCTTGGCGGCGCCCGCATCCTCGACCTTCACATGAACGAAGGCGCTGGTAGAAGAGATTTGCTTGCTGTTACTTGGGTCCGGAGTATCGATCTTCAGACGGTGCATGCCCGCCAAGAAAGGCAAACCTGAAGTATAAAAATTAACCTTAAACTTTTGCAGTTTTTCATAATCAAACATGTGTAGTAAAACTTAAACGTCTTTTCAGTAGAAATAATTATAATAGAAGAAAATATTCGAATAAAACAATACAATATTCACCACTGTCGAGCTGTGATTCGATACTTAAAGACAAACAGGACTTCAATAGCGCCGCCTTATACAAGTATTAAAAGCGCAACACTTACTAGACGACCAATGCCAATCTGCTGTGGGACCAGCCAGTGCGAGCCGAATCCTCTTGGGAGCCGTTGGATTACGCCACCTGGGACAAAACAAAAAAAGTTTGTTTTAAAAAATAAGTTCACACCAAAGAGTTTCTCTTGCGTCAAAAGTACGCTTACAATCGTACAAATGTGGGCTGTTGTATTTTAGTTCACTAGATGGCGCTAGTGCAAACTCTAGTTTTTCGTCCAATAGACAATTAGCATCATATCATTGGACGTTCAATATTTGATAGCTGATGATTGGACAAAGACTTCTTGCTAGCCCTCATTGACTTACACTCCACATCCAGATGCGTAAAAATCATTTATGATTCACACAACGACTCATTCCTGCGGGAACACAATTCATTTGTGACGTATGTTGACATTAAATGAGTAACGTTACCTATAGGCCAGTATGACGCCAGGTCCCAGCGGTACAACTTCTTCTGTATCCTCTTGTCCTACCCTCAAGGAGGACGCACAACTGTTGTATATCCAAAGCGACACTCTCCCTTCTAAAGTCGCGACCGCCGCCTCAGCCACGACCATTTCCTCCTGCTCAGTTTCTTCTGTTAAGTCCTCTTCATCATCCTCGGATATAGATTCCTCGATTGAGTTGTTTAAATACTGTAACATTTATACAACATGTCTTTATAATATTTTGATTATTTATAGGAAACTTAACTGCTATATATGGTGACAGGAATGAATATTAATACTACAAATAGCCTAATAGATGGCGCTTTGGCATAAAATTCATCCACATGACTGATGCCCAGGAAATGTTTGTTTGTTTGGTTACAAAGTGTTCAGTCGTAAAATCCACCGTTTTTCAAATTAGTTTCAAAGCTAAGCGTTCTCTACTAACATCATGTAAGATTTGACAATGATAATTTAAATAAATTATTCAGGCAATGGGCTAAAAGTACAGTAGGGCCAGATTATAAGCACAAAATCGATTGATCGATTTATTGGACTGACCTCGTCATAGGCCATCTTCCAATCCTGGCAGAGAGCCTGCAAGGTCCTGAGCCTTGGTATTTGTAGCGCTACGTGAATGCCAGTAGTCAGCACACGGTAGCGAGCAGTCAGAAGAGACTCTTGTTTATCCGACAAGCCACCTTGAAGACGAAACTCTTCAACAATCTCCTCCATTGTACCCGTCGAACTGTCTATCATGTCGGTGCTGGAAACAAAGTAATTAAATTATGTAGTAAAATGTGTAGTAAGTAGTAAAATTCAAAATTGAACTAAGTTATGTGTCCTAAAAGCGGACCTGGTGTGTTACCCCCATATGTGCGGGTGGTGGCAAATTTGGTGGTTTAATGAGGCAAACATCTCTACCTCATTTATTAACCACAAAAAGCTAAGTGCTTTTTAAAGGTTTCCTGCTGCAAATAAAGGTAATCATAATATATGTCCAAATATGCAATTAATATTACATACTAGCTTCTGTCAGCGGCTTCGCCCGCAGTCGTGGTGGATATAAAGTAGCCTATGTGTTAGTCCAGACCATAATATACTCTTGTTTTAAATTTTAGCCGTTTTGACGTAATTGAGTAACAAACACACACAAACACACACATTTATAATTAGTAAGATTAAAAAAATATTGAAAAACGAAACGAAAATGTCTAGACTATTATCAGCCTTAATACTATCTAGAAGAATATAGCAATAATAATCAGACTCACGATAGATTAGTGTCGACCATGACGAGCGTCCCGGCGGGCGAGCCGTACAGTGTATGGAACGCCGTGGACCGCGCGGTCACACTCAGCACTCGGTGTGTTCGCATCAGTGGCTTCGACACGTAGTAGCCTTCAAGGTACGTCGCTGCACTGCAGAAAAAAATTATAATTTACAAAATGATTGTTCTTTGTCGATGGAAGTAACTTATGGTCAGTATGGGTCAAACAACCTGACATTGGAAAACACCACAACAACCAGACAAGTCATAAATCCGTTGCAGGCTTTTTGAAATATACGCTAAATGCTGGGAATATTGAAGTTTGTATCGATTGGAAAATATATTTTTTATGTTGGTAGGTAATAGTGTATTAAACTTTCCATCAACACAACTGTATATGTACATCGTTCAAGTTAAATATATCACACTTAATAAACCGCTGCGCAGGCGCAGCGTCACGGACGCTTAACGCAATCACAGTCTTTAATTTGCGAGCTTTAACCTGTACCTACTAATAACATTCTAGTTACAGTTTACATCTTACCTAGTTAATGAGGGCAGTGAGTTATGTAGGTGTAAGTTAAAATTGGCGACACGCAACACAGCTTTCGTCCGCGGGAGGAGTCGAGGCGCAAAGTATGAGTCGACGCGCAAAACTCCCGACAGTTGTTCCGCCGACACTCCCGATACTGACTTTACATCCATCTGCTCTGGTTGCTCGTCAATTAACTAGAAAACAAGATTGTTTGAACAAGTAAATTTACATTCAGTATATAAAATCAAGAAGAATAGATAATAAGAATAAAGTCGACTAGAAACAGACTAAAAACAGATGGAAGATGTCGTATGAGGAAGGAATGATTTGAAAGACATATGGTTTGGGATGTGATGACATTACATCTGCTAGGATAGAATTTAAAGAAACTAATTGTGTTGATTTTCAGTAACTTGCACATCATATATACCAATATAGTAATAGCCACATTTTAATTCAAGATCAACGAACATAAGAAAACGTAAAGAAAACAAAAAAGTGTACTATATTGTAAAGCGACATCTATTGGCACAATGTAGAATTTCTTACAGATTTCGTGCTCCCTAGATGGCGCTAAAACATAACATTAAAACATTGTTTTTTTTAGTTGTAATTATGTAGGACGAACTTACCAAGGGCTCACTGCGTGGCAGGAAACGACTAGACACAAACTCGTAAGGCGTAGGGGGCTCATAGTCGTCACACACGCGGAATCGCCACATTATCGCAAACACCGTTTCTGTGAGAAATACATTAATTAAAAGAAAAATAACAAAACCTGGTACTTGGATTGTAGCTCCGACTTCGGATCTTCGAAAGATAACGAGCAGACAAAATGTGCTACAAGTGCAATTGAATATAATTAGAATTTTACTTATATTTTACATTATTTGTGACCACACTTTTCAGTGATCCATGAAAATCATAAAACCTGAGAATTCCTTACCCGGTGGGCTGACTGGCAGATTGAGTTCCTTCGGTTCCCCGAAGGGTATCTTGAAGTATGTATGCGTCTCCCACTTGGACAACATACTGTTGTACAACTCCAGCACACAACTTGTTTCCTTCTCCTATAAAACAAAGTAAACACAATACTTACCAAGAGAGTAAAATATCAAAACCGACTTCAAAAACCAAAAACTAATAACAAACAAAAAGTCAATACTAAAAAGCAAAAAATAACTATTATTAGTACTGATAGGTTACCCACCCACTGATAGGTAAGAAGTCGGTGCCATAAGTTCCATACAAAATTATTCATTAAAACCTTAATAGGTATCTAATTCACAATTTTGTGGACATTAAGTTATATCATTATGATATGAGCTTATGGCACCGACTTCTAACCTATCAGTGGGTGGGTAACCTATCAGTACTAATAATAGTTATTTTTTGCTTTTTAGTATTGACTTTTTGTTTGTTATTAGTTTTTGGTTTTTGAAGTCGGTTTTTTAAACGCAGTTTTTATTTTATTATTTTACCATTTTCAGTGTAAAGCTACATATACCCGTTTTGTTACTTATAATATACATAGGTGCAAAGTCCTCATCGATACAAATTAATCAAGCCCAAACTCAAGGTAGTTACTGTATACCGTTGAGGAGTTCCCTTAACAATTACACTTCTTCATCAACAGACCCTTAATGACAGCCCCCCTCTATCTAGGTGTAAAGTCCTCATCAATACAAATTAATCAAGCCCAAACTCAAGGTAGTTACTGTATACCGTTGAGGAGTTCCCTTAACAATTACACTTCTTCATCATCAGACCCTTAATGACAGCCCCACTCTATTTAGGTGTAAAGACCTCATCAATACAAATTAATTAAGCCCAAACACAAGGTAGTTAATATAAACCACTGAGGAGTTCCCTCGACTGTCTGTCGGCTCCATCATCAGGTCGACTCCAGACCCTTATTAAATTGTAGTGTTTAAAATTCGTAATTGAAAAACATAATAGACGCATTACTCCCCCATAGAATTTTCGAAAGTTCCCCTCGGTTTCCCTAGGATCCCATCATCAGATCCTGACTTCATGGAAATGGGACCATCTCGGGAGTATACCCTTTCAAACGAAACAAAAATTTTCGAAATCGGTCCACAAACGGCAGAGTACTGCGCGAACAAATAAAAAAAAAAAACAATCAGCCGAACATAGTACCTCCTCCTTTTTTTGAAGTCGGTAAAAAGGAAGAATAATATGACACCAAATTATTCTATATAACATCACGCCTTTTATTCCCGAAGGAGTAGGCAGAGGTGCACATTACGGCACTTAATGCCACTGTACAATGTAACATTTGTCACTATTGAACCTATTGTCATACACCGGGCACAATTCCAGACTCCGTGCTACTACTGAGAATTAAAACAAAAAACCAGTAGTACTTTGCCCGACCTGGGAATCGAAACCGAGACCCGTTGCCCGGTGGCAGTCGTTCTATATGCTTATCAATTGCCGCAAATGGCAATCACAACAGCTGTCAAATATTGAACATCCAATAGTGTAACGCTACTTAATTCCCTATTGGACGAAGAACGACAGAAATCTGGAGGTCTACTCCGGTTCTCGAATGCGAAGTTTCGTTTGATTTGCGGCCGCAAACAACGTTTTCGGAATCATAGACAACTTTCGTGAACGAATGAATTCTACAATGAACGAATGAAGTGAAGATAAATAAATAGGCAATAAAAAGGTTTAGATTCGAAATTAAAAATAAAATTTTATTTTAAGTAATTATATAACTAAAATGATAATGTCATAGCTTAGCACACATAATCATCAAGAAAATCATGAATAAGCTTTTAATACTAATGTTTAAGATGGAAAATCTTAAACAGGATAAAAACCTCCTTTTAAAGATTTATTATACGACCAATTTAAAAAGTTTAAGAATGTCATTTATTGACATTTATTTATAAAATAATGACAACCAAATTTATTCGTATTATATTAGTACAGTCAGTTAAAAAATTTAAATGTCTACATGAGAATTTGAAGACAATAAATTATTTCATGTTATGATGGTTAACAATATATTTTTGAAAGAATTTATCTTATCTATAAATGTTGTTACATTACTAAATGTGAAAGAATGGCGAAAATATGTACTAGCAATACTTAAGTTTATTTTTCTAGCCGTATTATTCGTTTTAAAATAAAACATTACACATGAAACATTTATGTACAATTCATAAGGTATTCAAATAAGTATTTGATTACCCTAAATGTTACTAACGCTCATAGACATGTAAAATTATATAGGTTCGTGTTAACAAACTATTTGAGCTGACTGTACATTGATTTTATATCGTCATTTAAATGGTTTCTTTGGTGCCCTACGTGTTGCCCACACGAAGAAACCGTGATAAAACGAAGACTTGCAATTACTTTCATAGATTTTTTAATAAAATTTAACTCAAACGAAAATCAAACGATAACTATTTTGGTTTCGTCGAAATGACATTAAACGTCCGAAGAATAATCTGTCAAACTCTAATTTTCGTTCGTGCGGATTGTACAATTAGAGTAGGGTTCCGAAAATTTCGACGTCAAACAGTACATCTCATACTAATTTCTGGCTTGTTTCATTCCTTTTTCGTTCGTTTATATGTCATTATCTTTGAAGTTTCGTCCGAAACTTCGTTTTTCGTCGAATCGGAGTAGACCTCCTGGTGAGCGTAAATATGGTAGGCCCTATTGAGCTCGGTGTACGGCAACATGCTTAATTTCATAACACTATACAAGTGTGTGTTACATTGGAAAGTCTAAAATTGCCTTAGGTGAGCGACAAATACGGCTCAATGCAACGTAATACGATAAGATGCGCATGCGCAATGTTATAACCGACATCTGTCATGGGTGATTACGTCTCTCGCCACATGGGTGATTATATAACTACGCGGTGTCGCGTTTGGACACCTGGACCAAAACAAGTAAACTTTAGGTCCAATGTCGCTACAGACTGTCACCAAAAAAAAATTACACCATTGATTTCATTACGTTTATCGCTCACACAGTAAACTGCTCAAATATATGACGTTATATTATAACTATAGTGACCCCCGCATGGTTTTACAGCTCGGCTCCTATTGTAGCATGATATTTTATAGCCTATAACCATCCTCGATAAATTGTTTATTCAACACAAAAATAATTTCATTTCACTCTCGACCAGTAGTTTTGGAGATTAGCGCATTTAAAAAAACAACCAATCTTTTAGGTTTACGTATTTTAAGTACATAGTATTCGTATATAGTATATATAGATTATGTTGATTATGATACCTGTCCGGGTAAAGGGAAGGCAACGAGCCTGGTGATAGCCCTGGGGTGTGGGTAGCGCCACGACACTGCGCTGCCATGCAGCATCACCTGGTACGCCATCGGTAACTGACCACCACTCAAGATCTTGAAGGCTCCACTCCTGTCGACAGACCGATGCCACTGTTTTTATTTCTGCGCTTCTTTAGATAACCTTGTGGCAATAGCAATGTGGAATTGCAAATGCGTTGCTAGCCTATTTCAGTGGACTAACTATTTGTTGCCAGGGCTCTTACAGTAATAAGCTCCCAATTTTGTTGGTATCCCAAGTTCACATTGTGAGTTTAGATCACTACCAATGCAGTTTTATTACATGTCATATGTTAAGTTACAAATGAACAGTTCACAAATCTATAAAAAGGCTATATTGTATTAATAACTATGAACATAGTTATGACAATTAACTATTAAAAAAAAATTATGCACACAAACAAGCACATGGGTGGACATTAGGTGCACCGCAGGCATTTTCTATCAGTCTGACCCTTGGGTGATGCATGGAAGTAACCAACGGGCGCAAAAGTATATATTACGTATCTATATTTATTACTTCTTTTTTTTCTTCGTGTGCGTAGCTACTGTTGAATAAATGCGCTTTCTTTCTGTCTTTCTTTAAAAAGCATGCAATGTCATGCAATGCAATGCACCTACTTTTGTAATACCATTTAATAATGTAGTACAGATCCTCAATAACTAAGTGGAAAAGTCTTCAATCTTACCATGAACTACTTCTATTAGTACTATTATTTGTGAGCGAATCATAAATATTTTGTTTTGTCACGCTTACCTGAGATCGTCTTTGTAGAACTGGTCACATGACTCAGTGTCTGAGGAGATTCCTTGGGAGGAAAACTGTGAACTGTGTGTGAACATATCGCGGTTTGACGCCGCGTCCACGGCCGGGTATATATTCAAATTCAATTTAGTTGGTATCTGTGGAACAAATATATACTTACTTTAGTCAGCAGATAATGACTCAAATACTACATCAATGGGGGCTATCGTATCTTTGCTCACCAGAGGCGCAAATGTCGTGATGGTCCAGAGGTTAAGACGACCTCATCTCTCATGTATGAGGGCAATGTGACTTTTTCGAAATTATATGCACTTTCTAAGCTTATATAGATACGACTGACAAACGGTAAAGGAAAACATCGTGAGGAAATCTAGACTTATAATTTCTAATTACAAGTTTGAAATCACCAACCCGCAATGAGCAAGCGTGGTAATTAATCCAAACCTTCTCCGTATAAGAAGAGGCTTTGCTCAGCAGTGGGCACTTATAGGCTGATGATGATGAGTGGCGCAAATGTCGGAAGGTGTTTTTGTGAAATCACTGCAGCTGTCAAATATTGAATGACTAATGACGTGACATAAGGACTATAAGTCCGAATTGGACGAAGAACGAGAGGTTTACACCACCGCCATCTGGTGAGCAAACGTAGACGAAATACGGTAGACCCTATTGCCTGTAACGTCTACCTGCCGGATTATGGGGCTCCTCTACACAACATGGCAAACCGCCATAATCTTAGCGATTGGCAAGAAACGTGGAGATAGCAATTTAAAGTTACGGGGTATCAGAAAGTGCTGTAGTGCAGTCTCTTTCGAGTATGTGGGTCCTTGAGTCGGCTCTTATAACATGGACTAGTGGAATAGATATGGTGACCAATATATTCTGTGGTGACAGCGCCACATGGTTAACCTTTTCATTTAACACCTACTGCTAGTCTGCTACATAGAAACCTGGTCTTTGAATAATAATAACTTTAGAAATCAGTGACCAACCACTGTATATCAATTGTAAAGACTAAATGGAAATATAATTACCTTTGGCATCTTAGCCAGTTCTCTGTAAGATTTTTCCAGTCGGTGGAGGGTGGCCAGCTCTGTAGGTCTGAGGTCCACGGTGACTTCATCGAATTCCACGCTAATCCTCACGGTCGGTTCCCGCATAGAATGACCACCTTCTGCACGCCGCCATGCTTCCCAATAAGCTTCTAATTCCAAACTGTAAGAACAATCGTAATATTTTACCACCACAATGTGAAACGCAAGAATTTTCTCAGAAGTGTCAACAGATGTCAGTACTCTCTAGTGACATCTATCGCTGCATGCGGGAAGCAAAAGTAGTTTGTTGCTTACGCCAATAGATGGTGTGATTAAAATATCTGCGATCTTCCGTACATAATCAAGCTATGAAGCTAACACAAATGAATGGCAATACAAATAATAGCTATTCAAACAGAACCACATTCCCGCCAGACACCAACATATCAGTCGACAGAAGGATCTTTCGTTTTCTAAAGACGTGGGCCTCCGGTTATCTCAGTCGCAGGGTGAAACATAACACGTTGGTTGTTTTACTTAGATTTTCGGTGAGGCCATGGTATCCGGTAAGTTTTTCGGTTCTGTATGAAAAGAACAAACCAAAAATCTCTCAAAACAAGAATACATACCCCATCATCAGGGGTTGCAAGATGACATGTCTCCGGTCTGCAGGCGGGCCGGCTGCGACCAGTAGCGCGGTGACGAGTCCGCGCGCGTTCAGTCTCTCGGGGCGAGAACTGGCTGAGATCTGCAGGGTAGAACTGTCCCACCCTACTATCCCCTCGTGTCCACACGCTGAGATCTGGCTTGTATGGATCGTTATACTCTCCATGCCTTCCGATACTGAACAAAATAAATGGTATTAACATGAGCTGGGTATAGATTTGGAAGCACATTATTCTGTAGGGGGTTGTGCAAGAAGATTACACATAACATGTTCATTTATTTTTATTGGCATCCTACACAACTGTTTTCTATATGAAGGTGTTAATGAAGTAACGACTATCGTGAAAAGTTAGAGGAACAACCATTTTTAGATACCTATTTTTAATTTAGATTAATTTTCGGTACTTCCTATCTGACTTCTTTGATAAGAAATACCGAAACAGACGCAAATTCCGAAACCTCAATTTGTGGTTCACACGTCCACAAAATGTGAGTTCATACCTGTGAGACATCGTGCAGGATAAAATCTATTATGATTGTGTGGCAACTTACATAATTGTTTTTTAATTCTGTACAGCAATGGTTTTTCAGGAATGTGTGAAGATTGTGGAAGCGAAGCTCGGTTGCTTAGATTCGCATTTACCTGGAATCATAACATATGTATTAAAAGTCCCCATAAAATAGGATCAATATGATATTTTGAATGAATTTATAGCAGTTATCATCAAAAATGAAGAGGTTTCTACTGTATGCTCCTTTATGACTGGTCACACATTTTTTAACAATCCAGATTTATTCAAATATAGAGTTGAATACAGTCGAATGCGCACGCGCATATTGTTTTTGAGCCCGGAAAAATGCACGGGACTTTATGTTGGCCGTGGTGCTTACGGCAATGAAGTAGTAAGTAATAAATAGTATACTTACAAGCAATATTATATCTCTCAGCCTCCTGAGGTTGTCGGTGGACACCTCGAGCTGCACGGGCCGCTCGATATCCAGTCGGACGGTGCCGCGCGTGCTCGTGCCAGACCCAGCTGACATGTCTGTATTATAGGTTTCTGATATTACTGGACTCATTCTTCATCGACCGCGAGCAAATAATTTTTCCCATTGAGGGCATTAAAGGTAACCAAATCTTCAAAGGCCGAGTGAATAGGTTATACAACGACGTGCTATATCGTAGACCACATCATCGCTTACCACCAGACGAGACAGTGGTCAAACGTAGCCCATAAAATATAAAAAAAAATACAAACATTAATTAAATTAAAGTTTTAATTTAATTTAATTATGAGTCACTCACGAAGACATATTAAGAGACAAGCTCTACTAGTTACGAGTTACAGAGGAATCATGAGCATAGTGAGCGCGCGTAGCTACATACCTCGTAATTTTTAATTAATTAACCATGTCTTCCGATAGTTATAATAAAAAGAGAATCAGTTACATGAGTAATCCCACACTCTGCTCTTACGACATCCACGGAAAGAGAAGAAGTGATGATTGAAATGTATTCTACTGAGCAGTCACCACGCAGAAACTTCATGCCTATATAACGTAGAATAGTAACGTATGTCGACTTACTGCCTATAGGAGCCACGACCTTGAAGGTGGCAAGTGCGGGAGGGATGTCAGTGACCGGGTCAGCCACACCCTTCGCAGTGGACACCAACACAGAGCTCCACTGTCCTTGCACGTCCGTCATACCGAGAGCCACGCCCGCATTGAACAGCGATAGCTGAAGAAGATCAATGTCATGTTTAGTTATTCAATGTTATAACATGCATAGATATTGACTTGAATGCCAAATAACAAGGTTCTGGCTCATATTTTAAAAACTAAAACGTTATATTATTAATTTCACAATTGTCGACCATGCTGCGCAGACGCATCGCTAGAGTTGTGGTTACACAGATATCGACAAACGCCATCTTGATTAATTACTTTACACTTGAAACCCTTCTGGAGTTGTGGGTGTCCAAGAGAGGGTCCACGGCGCAAGTAACAGACGGATCACTGTCTGCTTACTTGCCGTTCTATTCCATGTAAATATATTGACTAGATATACCTGTAATGTCTTCTGCGTCTTTCTTTTCCAGTAGTATACGTTTGGCTGCAACAGCGTGACTTGTATAAGCGGCACGTTGCCCTCGTACTCTCGCGCTTGACTCTTCACATGCTAAGTAAATACAATAATATCACATATTATACTTTTATGCCAACACCTTGTCCACTAATATACAAAGTTTCAGTTTACCCCTTTTTCTCTCGGTAGGGAAGAAATTCTAAAAATTCTTAGTGCACCCCTACAACACATCCCTCTACCCTCTACCCCCCTCTAGTCACTCATTAAGCAGAGAGTTTTATGCAGATTGCGTTTGAGAAATGATAACTGCGAGATTGCACCGGAGTCTTGGAATGGACCGCCTGATTGAGCTATATGGACTGGCTCAACTGGGGAAGTAGCATCCTCTCACAGAATACAGTCAAATGACGCGTCGTGGACAGTAAGGCTTAGAAGTCAACAAGTTACCGGCGGCGTGTGCAGCATTGTCGCCCCGATGTCAACGTCTCGCATCGCGTCAGTGAGACTGCGACTTGTCGCCGGTGACACGCCATCTTTCTCATCGTCTTCCTTTTCTGGCTGCTATAAACAATAGACATCTTTAATATGAATAGGCCCTAACAGGCCGCTGCTGGACAATGGACTTAGTCTTTATGAAAGTGGTTTTTTTAAATTATACAGTTTGCAGGCAAGTTGGAGATCGAGTTTAAAAAGTTTACATTGCTTGCTGCCTGGTCGCTGTTAAATGTGCAGTTTCAGTTTCTAAGTCAGCTCTTACGAGTCTAACGACACCATGGGGACTATTGGGTGGTGATAAACATATTGTACTCTGATTCAGGAAACCATAATAAATAAAAGTTTCTAAGAGGAGGAGCAACTAACACGGCTGTTAATTTAACGATTCTGTTAGTTGCCATGGTATTGAAATCAAATGATTTACACTCGGTTCGTTATAACAAGTGTAGGGTGACACGCACACCACTTGATTAGTGAGGCAGTCAGTGGACATATTACAACGGATGAATTACAATTAAACGGATATTAATCGAGTTATGGCATAGAGATAGCATTTTAGTGATAGTCAGTGCAATAAAAATACATTATATATCGCGTTACCTGTTGTGGGATCGGTGTAACGGGCTGCACGTATTCGACAGAGGGTGGTCTGAGAGCTATCACCTCGGGGCTGCCGTCATCTGCCACGTACAGTGACAGGTCTATCACTCCCATCGTCACAAACACCTCCAGAAAGTTCGACGCATCCCCCCTAAAAAATGACGGAAGTAATTAAACTCTAGTCTAACTATTTGAGGTCAATTGTACGTAATTTAGATATATTTTTGAATTTTGCCTTTTTTATTATGAAAAAAGTTTTATTTATTTATTTATTTATAATTGCATAAAACTGAAGCAGTGAAGGCTTTAAAAGAATGATTGCTTAGAAGCTATCTACAGTATACCATAATACTACAACTAATAGTACTTAGTCAGACGTACATACGTGAGACGTTTGTGAAACCGTTATTTCTAACACTATTTATGATCTGGGATAGGCCGGTAAACTACCCCATGGATCAATCGATGGACAACATCAGAGGAGTTACAAGTGTATTGCTAGCCTGTTGGGTGTGGGGGTTGGGGATTAGGGGGAAGAACTTGGCATTAGGGGGATTGAGGGTTAAGGGAGAGGACTGGTCATTAGGGATTGGGGTAGAGAGGGAGGACTGGGCAATAGGGGATTGGGGGTAGAGGAGGAGGACTGCACCTCCCATAACCTTATTCAGTGAAACACAACGCATGCGTTGTTCCACGTCAGTTTTTTTGGGGTCGTGGTGTTACTACGTTCCAGCTAATTCATACGTATCGAAACATGGTTCTCAACGTAATAAACCTATAAAAAAATAGTAGCAAGTGACTCACGTTTCTACAAAGGCTACGGAGACGGACTTTTTGATGGGCACCTCGTCAGTAAGCTTGGTCTTAGAAGAGGAGGCTGTGGTCTCTACGCCAGAGTCGTAAGTCGTCCGACATGTTTCAGTGGACGTTTTAATCGCTGGAAACATATAATAAATGAAAAAGATTGAGTCGGCTGTGGGTGTGATCATGTGTCACCTCTTCGGTTCCATGAGAAGGCTACCATTCCCACATAGAAAATAGTTTATTACTACGTAATTTTATTTGATCCTCATGGCGACCGACATAACATGTGTTAGTTGTAAATTGATTTGACTAAGGATTTCTGCAAACACACGACATCATTAACTAAAAATTGCGGGTTACTCACGTGAATATACTGTGAAAAGCTCTACTAGTTTCGAACCACAGAAAGGTTCTTCCCAATGAGATAATGATTTCGCGATTTTTAGTTAATTTAATATGCCTCACGATAGTTATTATAAAAACATTATTGAAATTTGTGGAGGATTATACACTCTGTAATGTGATGTGATAAAAATTGTAAATCAAAATATTACTTATGACGTTCTCGATGACGGGTTCGTCGAAGACTGGAGTGTGGTCGAGTTGGTTGGTGATGATGTTCGCGTACGGGCAGACGCTGTCCTTGTCCACCGACATCCGGGGTCGCGAGAAGATGTTGGTCATCCTTGCAATTCAAATTAAACAATTTTAGGTCGCACTTATACTCGGAATTTTAATTCGATTCCAGATTTGACAATTTCAGTATTGCAACGTTATGACAAGTACTAAATAGTGACGTTGCGAAATTATTCGATATGGAAATGCAATATTTCTGGATCGATTCTTCTCGTTTATAATTTTACTCTCGTAAACTAAGTATATCAGGAAATTAAATATTTCGGAACCGAAATTAATAATTTAGTTTTGACGATTAATTAACGATCTGAGACTTTCTTTTATAATTGTGTGTGAAATAAATAAAAAAATGTAATCATGAAGGAACATGACAAATAAAACAGATAGATGTATTATGGTAATAAGTTATTTTAAAAATTGTCGCCGTCATCGCTACCGCTATCCTGCCACTTTCTGTAACATTTATTATAAAACACACACACTGATTGTTTATCGATTTTTGTGTTCATCACTACACTATTATATGTGGTATCATTATTTCTTAAAATGACAGTAGCTAATGTCAAATCTGGAATCTAATTAAAATTCTGACTATAAGTATAGTTCTCAGAAATTCTTTGTAAAATGACAGATGGCACGGTAGTTAAATTGAGTAGCCTATTATTCATTTCAGCCTATCATTCAGCCATTTATTTATTATTAGTATTTGGACGTAAGAAAACAAACTTTTACGCAGTTCTAAGAGAAATAACCCATTCAAATTATATTGTTCTTAGTAAAAAAACTACAAACCAATTACTATCCTGTGCCAAGGAAATATCAGAGACGAATTCTTGTTGCAGGTTTTTGAAGAGGACGAGCTGATCTACACTGATCTCTATACTGCAGTCTGACACCAGGTTCAGCTCAACCGCTGGACCGCAGGCCAGCAAGCCACCGACGTACATCGCTGGAGCTAGCACGCAGCAGAGCTCGACACTACGAGTACCATTCAAGTTTAAAATTATTAATATTATACACAATTCAAGAAAAATTCAAGGACGTTGAAAAAAGGCGTAGGTAGTTTCTTGAAACAACAACTGAAGCACCCATAGGAAGTCAGCTTTACACGCATCAAATTCAATTATTAACATTGAGCTTATTTCTGATAATTAACACCATTATTTCAAATTGATTTTGAAGAAACAATCTACCAATAAATTGTATGACTATACTTTATAAGCACAAATTGGCCCTTAGTGATAAAAAGATGCGAAAAGAAAAAAATTTGTGAAATACTCACGAGTGTAATATGGGAACCTTTTGTGGGATCTTGGTGCGTTGGCTCCATTTCAGCGCAGGATTCTCAGTCGTCATACCTTTAGTGTTGTCTAAGACTGCCTGTTGACGAATGATATAATCCTTAGCTGATATTCTACATGGAAATCTACTACAAATCCTTAAAGAAACCCTGTCAACAGACAGGGTTTCTTTGGGGTTTCTTTCAGGGGTTGTAACAACAACAGAAGTGTTTTATACGCCCAAATTACTGAAGATTATGATATCCCTCTAATTCCGCCTCGGCGGCGAAAGCCCCGGATTCATTTACAGGGCTCTCTTCGTACTGCAGGAGAGTAGAAGAGTTGTGATCTCCAGCTTTCCGTTGCCTTCTTCGGCGACATACTATTTTTGCAGGACAGGACTGCATACCATAACTTTGTACTGCCACCCATTCTTTAACAGGAAAACAATCGGCAATGACAGATCGTCATTCTAATCGACAATGATAGATCGTCACTTTAACCTCGAACACGAAGCCACCCACTCCACCAGCGTATGCCACGCCGTACCCTCTAAATTAAGGCCTGACGAAGCTCCAATCAACACGATATCGTTTTATTTCCACTCATCGTCACGCCACTGACAAAACAACCAGAACCACAATCCGAGGCGTCGTAAATGTCTTAATTGAATATTTTGCGGTATACTTTTCTACCAAGGGTTCCCAAGACAGAGAGTCGCGAAGTATTCGGCGGCCCACTTTTCCTCACTCCTCTATAGTACACACGACGACTAAATTACGATGTTGTAAAGACGCTTACCTCAGCGAGCGCTATAGCTTTGAACTTTGTAGATTGTACGGAGACTTCTTTCACGAGAATTTCGTACTGTCGGCCCTCGAACCCGCTAGCGCCTGCCAGCCAGCCACCATCGGGTCCCGTGTTAACCGCTCGCCTTCAATATAAAACAATTAGGATGGTATTTGGTATGGTGGTTTTATCTGGAATGTTTTCCGGGTGTGTTGACAATTGGTATTTCCGATTTCCATTTAAATTTTAAATAACTTGCTATGCTGTTCAGTAAGGATGCAGGTCTCTAATGCAGAGAGAATTTTTAAATTCAGTCCAGTACATTACAAACATACACACAAAAACAAAAATGTTTCCTCTTTATAACATTTATTAGTATAAAATAATGGATTGCTTGTGATTGAATATTGCTAATGATAGAAAATGGTCGATTAATGAATAATGACATTATAAAATATTGCCATTGTCGAATATTGCTTTTAATAATTATATTGTAGAATTTATAAATATTCCTTTCTGAATATTACTCATTGGTCATGATGCTATACATACCGGCAGATGGGATTTTCTGGGTGTGGAGTAATATTTACGGCGCCGATCTGAAATGTTTCATTTAACAAAGTATTACCTATTTTTAGTGGACGCAGATAAGATTAGTCATTGCATCTGTCTAAGGTTGAATTTAAATGTAGAATGATGTAATACCAAAGGTAGATAAAACTTAAAAGAATTGTAGTTATCGTGCATATTTATAATATTAGAAGAATAACGATACTTACATAGAGAATTATGGTGTCATCGAAGGATCTCTCTCTACCCACATCCTCCCCGGCAACAACCACCCTAATGCCGCCGGCAGTCAGATACAAATACGGCCATTGCCAATCTGACAGCCTGTAAGTACACAATTTTGATATAGGAACCCATGTACATACTTTAGATTACGATGGCATAGCTACCATCTTACAATAAGAATAGGTCATAGGTGGCTTATGGGCAGACGTGCTTCATCGTCCGCGTCGTACCATACCACCAGGCGAGATAGTGTTCAACCGTCGTCCCATTAAATATAAAAAAACCTGAAGTACACTTAGAACACTAAAGGTATCATGAGTGCATTGACAAATGTCAATCTTTTAGATAAACCGAAAATCGATGTACGGCATCATTCCATAAACTAAGCGCCCTTGGGATCAAAGAAAAATAACTAGAAAACTTAAGATTAGGTTTATGTGTGTAAAGTATCGTCTCATTGTTATTACTTGTCAACTTGTAACTATGACAATCGCCGAGCAAGTGATTAGCGCCGAGAATAAGATAGCGCAAGTGTTAGTACAAGACTGCATTTCTAGGGAATCAAATTAATTATTATATAATAAAAGTAAGAGTGGGTACCTGTTCTCAGTCTCCGCCCTCAAGGGACAATATGCTCTTGGCACCAGTTCCCTGACCAGAGTAACGATGTTGTCTATAACACTCGGCTGTACTAACGCCTCTAGCGGGGCCAGCGTAGCGAACACTTCCCACATCGTGTCGTGCGACTGCAACAAACAAAAATAACATAACATAACATCACGCCTTTTATGCACATTATACCACTGTACAATGTAACACCCACTTTTCACAATTTATGTTATGAGTCCCATGTAATAGGGGGTGAGCCTATTGCCATATACCGGACACAGTTCCAGACTCCGTGCTACTACTAATAATTTTTTTAAAACCCAGTAATACTTTGCCCGACCCGGAAATCGAACCCGAGACCCCTTGCTCGGCAGTCGCAATTACGACCACTCGGCCAACGAGGCAGTCAAAGAAACAAAAATATAATGCTATAACTCTCATATACAGTAAATAAGAGAACACACTAATGTTAATATATTTAACATAACAGTTCTTTGGGTCCTAACAGTGTAAATGCGGAATATAAGAGATAAAACAAACAATTAATTTTAATAAAATAATAACTAATTTATTCAACAAACCTGCTACGAACAAATTGAAATTTTATTTTACAAAACATGAACACAATTGATCTTGTACAGTTTCTCCTTAGCATCCTAGATGGCACTGCTTATTGTTGCTTCACTCTCTAGATGGCGTTACTAGTCAAATTAGAAGTCGCTACGGTTCTGTTACACGCGTTTGGTTAGATAAGCGAGCTAATTAATGTCTCTCAGTTAATATTCCAAACGTTGGAATATTTTTGAATTAGGGCTACCGTTTAGGTTCCGCCTTTATAATTATTCACTAAAAATTGTAAGTTTACAAGAGGATTTATTATTAGATCCATGGTTAGTTTACTTACAAAAAAAACAGAAAGTAGGGAATATGTTATTGACATCTCTGTCTCTCTGTTGGCATGGAATTACGGATCACCCAATGGTAATCAATTAGCGAAGTTTTAAGGATTCGGTATGCAACTTTATTGACGGGCTTATTGTAATGCAAGAACACAAGATGACGATTCGTATTTTTCCGAATCGCGTAACGTAAATATTAACGCAGTGCCCAATAAAAAACTCTCTCTCTCACTCTCTCTCTCTCTCTCTCTCTCTCTCTCTCTCTCTCTCTCTCTCTCTCTCTCTCTCTCTCTCTCTCTCTCTCTCTCTCTCTCTTGTCGTAGCTGGTATTATTTTTGCACTGTGTAAACCACAAGTCGCACGCACACATGCAAGAAATTTAGCAACGACATTTCTGTTGGTATTGTATGATGACGCTCTATCTAGACATATTTGTAATCTAAGCTTGTATATCCTGCCAACCGCAATAAGCAGAAATAAATTGACTTATCAAAGTATCACGAATATAACGTTAAAATGTGAATAATTATACTCGGAATTTTAATTCGATACCAGATTTGACAATTTCAGTGTGGCAACGTTATGATAAGTACTAAATAGTGACGTTGCGAAATTATTCGATATGGAAATGCAATATTTCTGGATCGATTCTTCTCGTTTATAATAATTATAATTTTACTCTCGTGAACTAAGTATATCAGGAAATTAAATATTTCTGAACCGATAATTTAGTTTTGACGATTAATTAACGACCTGAGACGTTTCTTTTATAATTGTGTGTGAAATAAATAAAAAAATGTAATCATGAAGGAACATGACAAATAAAACAGATAGATGTATTATGGTAATAAGTTATTTTATAAATTGTCGCCGTCATGCATGACTATCGCTATCCTGTCACTTTCTGTAACATTTATTATAAAACACACACACTGATTGTTTATTGATTTTTGTGTGCATCACTACACTATTATATGTGGTATCATTATTTCACAAAATGACAGTAGCTATTGTCAAATCTGGAATCTAATTAAAATTCTGACTATAGTACCGTTTATTACTTACGTATACCAGACTCGCACACAAGATACATAACAAAAATGTAAGACGAACCAGAATAGATAACGTAAATAACGAAAAGCAAGAAACTATCAACAGCGATAAGAAACACCGCTGAGGGGAGTGCTACATACAATTATTGACTAACACAAACTTACCGAGGTAGACTCCAATAACTTGGGATGCAGCTCTTCTTTCCAGCTTGCGGGCAGGTCAGATACCCTTCAAGAACAAATACAAATAAATTATTATGTACAAATATGTCTCGCACTCCTACTCTAAAATTAAGCTTTAGAACTGAAACTATTACAGTCAATGTGGTGTTTATTTGATTAACGCCCGAATACTGAAAGACTACTCACTTTTAGGTAGCGCTTAAGTATTGATTTTGTCACTACAAATTCTTTGTATAATGACAGAGATGGCACGATATTTAAGTACAATTTAAAATTAGGTAGCCTTTCAGTATTCGGCCGTAAGCGACAAAATGTACATACGTATCTTATAGCGATACTTATAGCGATGTCACGCAGCCTACTGCATCGCATTATGACATCGCCGCGACCGCGCACGCTGCTCACTAAGATGAACCTCTCTGTGGTTCGAAACTAGTAGAGCTTTCCTCAGTATATTCACGTGAGTAACCCGCGATTTTTAGTTTTAATTTAGTATGTCTCACGATAGTTATTATGAAAACTTTAGCAGTTTGTGCGATAATCCATATTAAAAGGGTCCTACTTGTGATTTCATTAGTATGCATGCTGCAGAACAATTCGTTATAGAGATTATGAGGTGAAAACGATATAGTGAAAGGACGACGTGACAAGGTCACAAACTAGATGAAGGTAGCTCAAAATAAAGAAGGCTTACTTATACTACCATAGCAGAAAGTGTTCATTAATGTGGCCAGTCAATTGTCGCTTAATGACTATGAGACCCTAGCGTAGCTTGAACCTAGTTGAGTTACCTCTCGTCAAACAGTCACGTGAGTAAGCGGTATAACGTAATTAAGACTTACTGCGCTTGTGTGATGGTGACGGACAGGAAATGAGTATCCTCTTCAGCTTTTGTAGGCTCCCTAGCTTCCAGCACCCTACCGCCGATCACGCCAGTAACCCATTCGTCCATTTCATTCCTAGAACATTGCCCCGTCTCCATTAAATTACGACATTATTATTTATTTGACTGTCTATCTGGTTATTTAAGATTCCCACAACACAATATCGGAAAATAAGCAAATCGATTGTAATCGAAATTTGCGAACTAATGCACAACCATAGAAATAATTAATGAGCGAGAATAAAAGCGTTGATTTGGGATCTATTAAATAACAGATGTAGTACATTACTATAACCTTACTAGCTGAATCAGCAAAACTTCGTTCCGCCAAAAACAAATTTCTTTACATTTTAAACCTTCCCTGGACTTCTTCGATTATTTTAAAACGTAAATTAGCTAAATCGGTTGAGCCGTTCTCGAGTTTTAGCGAGACTAACGAACGGAAATTCATTTTTATTTATATAGATTTACTGTCCATACTAACCTGAATTTACATATAGTTTGTCTAATTAAGAATGATGACGAATGTTTAACGAACTTACAACTTTAAAACTATGGCAACACTTAATAAAAGTCGCATGTCATCAGCTGTGATCGAGGTTGTTTTACGAATCGTTTTTGGTATAAAGTTACTTGATTGGAATTTAATTGAATAAAACTTAGAAGAAGTTTATCACACATGCAAAAGAACAATTCAGAGTGCAGCTCAACTGATAATATTTCAAGTATAAAGTTATTTTCAATGCAATAAGAAGCTGGACCAATTTTATCAAATGATGTCGTGTCAGACAATGATGTCCGACGGTAGCAGAGGATTAACCTTTAGTAGTTTTGGTTGGCAGTTAAAGGCTTAATAAATAGACAAACTGTATTTTGTTCAGAATAACAAACTGAAAAGCAGCAATAACTCTACATTTTACATGTTGATACAACAATATTTATCAAATTGTAATAAATTAATAATTGATGTGAAGCGTGTCGGTAACGTCTCGAAGGCAAACTTACCGTTTATAATGTTTAATGGAGGCTGATGCCACCTTGACTTTAAGCTGGTTGTACTCGGTTTGTATATCGATCGTGCTGATGATGTCATCGATGTCCAGCGCCAGCTTTACAATGTCAGAGGCTAACACTAGCGTCGCGCGGCTCACCACCCATTGGAACCAAAAGAATGTCTTCAAAGGACGCTCTGGAAATTTTATATTATTTTACTTGTGGCTCTAGAACTAAATACATAATATAAGAAATAAGAGCTCTATCTCCACCGCCGTTAAACTGTAAATGTAACTTTGAGTACCACTGAAATATAGGTATAGTAGTAAATATGTAAAGCATCAAATTGAATAATTCTATTTTGATTGTGATTGTGTACTACTTATCTAGGTACGATATATTTGCCGCCAGATTCACCAGGAAAGTTGGCTGATCGCTCAATAATGTAGATTACTTTGATATTAAAAGCTGGTACTCACTTTTTTGTAATGTCCTATCAAATATGGGCACCAGTTCAGATTTTTCGCTGGCGTCTTCTTCTGATGGAGCCGCTATTTCGTTTATTTCCGACACAGACCTGCAAAGGTGAAGGTATAACACACACCGTTATTCATTTTCCGTCAGAAATATAAATGAAATGTCCGAAAGGCCATTAAATATCCCGTTATGATCATTAGCAGCAAAGCAGTGGATGGGACCGCGCAGGAGTGGCCTTTTTGTGGGGTGTAAATCATCAAATGAGACCTCTCACCCTGGGTGATGCAAAAGGGAGTGTGTGATTCTTACCGACTATAATATACACCATCAGGATCGATCCAGTAGCTAAGTTAAATTTATTTCCGTGGTTTAATAGTTCCATGGAGGTAAATGAATATTCCTACAGGGATTATTCGCTTCCAGTACCCGTTCCCAAGAAGTTTTATCGATAAAAACTATCCAATACCCCGGGTCATAACCATCGTTGTACCGAATTTCAATCAAATAAGTACAGTCGTTTAGACGATAGAGAGTCACTCAGTAACGGATTTGTTTTATATACCTACTAGCGGCCCGTCCCGGCTTCGCACGGGGGGACTTAAGATTTTTTACATAGTTTTACGTTTTATTTATATTTATTCTCAGTTTTTTTTTAGCGACCTGCCCTCCGTTGTCGATGTCGCGTCTTAAGGTAACCGATTGAAGAATTCAAAAGTTATCTAGAGCAAACTTTTATAAGGATTGAACCATTCATTAAAACGATTGTTATGGGTAAACTATAAAAGGTAGACATATGCTCTCGCGGACTTTTTTAAAAATAATGTTAAGATAAACAATTCATCTATAGAACATTTTTGTATAACTTTAACTATATGCTCAGCGCACGCCACGGAAGGCCTCAGAAACGATACTTTTCCCCCGTTTTTAACACATTTTTGGTTACTGCTCCACAACTATAGGACCTAGCGTGATATTATATAGCCTATGTTACTTCTGAATAATGCAGCTTTCGAATGGTGAAAAAATTATTGCAATCGGTTCAGTAGTTTTTGAGTTTATTCATTACAAACATACAAAAATACAAATCTTTCCTCTTTATAATATTAGTATAGATATAGATGTACATACCGTATTAATGATCTGTGTGAGCTGCCGATTGATGTGAAGCTTCTGTTAGGGATCAATATAGCAGGCCGCTGCAATAACGTGTGAATGTGAGCCAAACAATGGATTGTCGCGGACATCGTTTGAATCTGTAAACACATATAATGATAATTACATCGGTAGCTTGGAAATCACAAATAGTCTTATAGAATATGTTACTGGCAGACATTCTTAGCGTGGTTTTAGTTTAAGGCCGGCGTCATATAATGATTACTCGAGCGGACATCTCTTCACAAAAACATTTAGAAAGAGATGCATTCAACAGATACGTACAAGTAGGTACAGTAAAAAAAAAACAAAATTTAAAAAATTGTGCAATCAATATTGCGTATAATCTTACCTTATTGTCCACAGAGAATCATCATTTTATATTTGAAATTACGATTGCTATTCGCCACGTTCTTACATATTTTTGTTATTAGATTTCTGGGTTGCCAACGTGAATTTATTTATAACTAACTATACCGCGCGGTTTCTTCCGCTGATCGGTTTGTATTCATCTCAGCGTGATGTTTTATAACATATAGCCTACCTCAATAAATGCACTATCTAATGCAAAAGTAATTATTCAAATCGAATCAGTAGTTTTGGAGATAAGCTCATTCAAACAAACAAATAAACAAACTCCTCAGCTTTATACACTGACTTGTTATTCTTCTTACAAAAGCAACGCAGTTCATGTATCCAAAGACCAGTAAATGTTAAAAATAAAATTAAAAATTGTAGTACTGTTGCGAGATTATAAAATAAGATCTCGACAGATCTTACTTGAGCCTCAATCATTCCTTAGTTCATACATAAGAAACGCGGCTAAAAATAAAATATTAATATTTGATCATAATGTTTATTATACAGTTTTATTTTATAGAAACAAATAACTAGATATGTCGTACTTACGTACGTACAGACACGCAACAATTTTTATGTCGATTTCTTTCCTTTAACAAAATTATACTTTTTACCTACAGTTCAAGCAACTAAGTAACAAATAACTCAATTGAAATTTAATACAATATTACAAATTGTTTAAATATAATCTCAAATTCTATGTTATATTTTATTATTATAATCAATTTGCGCCCATGAATGCGATGTTCATATCAAATAGGAATGTCCAAGTAATATGGGGACAACTTTATCACAACTAGTTATGGCTACTGTCTTGTAACTGGGGACAATTGAAAGAAGATGACATTAAAATAATATATTGAGGGAAAAGTATGTAATACTTGAAATAATAAATGAATAGGATACCTCGAATGTAATTATTCAGTTTTCAAGTGCTTGGTAAGGAAGGCAAGTTTAAAACGAACACAAAGTCGATAGAAAGCGGGCTGCTCGCAGGCGGACTTGCCAACTGCAAACGAAATACATAAGTCAACAATTGCCTTTTTTACTGATCTACCAAGAGAGTAGGGGAGGGGTGTGAGGGGGATAGGGGGTACGGTGTGGGAGGGAAAGGGGGGAAAGGGTGTGAGTTGGAAACGGGTGAGGTGTGATGCTATGGGCTAAAATAATGAGGTACATAGGTTAAAAGTGGAAGAAACTAACTACTCAAAACTATTTAATATGAAGATCACATTCATTGTCATATTTGTTTTTCATATAAGGATTTCGTAGTGATTAATTGTAGAACATTTCACTATCAATTATTTTGTTAACAACAACCCGAGTGTACTTAGGACTTATTCATTCATACTATAAGAAATACGAGTAAATATTTTAAAGCTTTGGGTTCGCTAATCACCGGAACTACTGATTTGAACGAAAGAAGAAACATTTTTGTAAGTAAAGCTGTAGGCGAGAACATCACGCTAATATTAATAGGAGCTGAGTAACTTGTATTACTTGAAAACTGATAATGACGTTCCGCTTTATTAGTCTATACTCAGCTCAAAATAAAATAGGTACTTGTTTATTGCAAGTGGTAAACAGATATTTTCTTATAAACTCGATGTCACAATCGTAAGTCATGTCTAAAATGAGTTTAGATTTGACAAACCTTGTAGACCATTAGTTGCTACACTGTCAACCAATAGGTTTAACAATAGGGTAGTTTCCAAAATTTTATTTTAATGTCCGTCTGGTACATTAATTTAAAACTTTAGAAACGGTATTTTTCTTTTCTCATTTGAAATATTGTGTAACGTCACAGCGTGTCACATTTTGTAGCACGTTATGACGTAACTCCTAGACTTAGCGCCATTTTATCTAAGTATTGCAACTTTATACGAGAAAATAAAAAAATACGTGTCTAATATTGTTTAATTATCTACTGACGGAGTAATTAGATTTTTAATTTTGATACCCAAAACACTACCCAATTTGCAACTAATAATTCTATAGGTTTGTGACCAAATTAAAAGAAACATTACCTGATCCTGTTCCAGCCGGATGATGATGGGTGGAGTGTCAGCGTGGAGGTGCACTCCCAAGGAGATTAGCGGTCCGTCCTTGATGGTGATCACCTCGGAAGGTATCTCTGTTTGAGACGTCGCCGACGCCGACGGCTGAATACAACGTGAAGCATATTATGTCCTATATCTATGTAGAATTCGGTATTTGATAACCAGTCTTATCCAATACATACATAACCTCATACCTGTCTCCCATGCATGTAGGCAGAGATTATGGAACGCCAATTAATATTACGTCTTATTCGGTACCTTTACGAAATGTAAAATAACTATACTTTTCTCTGGATTCTGTATGAGGTACCGACCTGTGATATGTGTTTCTTAAATAATTGCTTAGTAATTTAAGCAATGGTTAAAATTTAGTTTAAAGGTCTAAATAATTTAATTTTTACTAAAATGGCGCTACATATTTCGGAAGCAAATTAGTTATCATAAAGGACAAAATACAAAATATATACATGTAATATTAAAAACGGGAATTGGCCCTAGAAACCATGACATTCATTAAATTAGGCTTCTTATATCAATGGAGACATTCTCAACCATGTATCTCGATTGAGTAGTTTGTATGACGTATGATGACAATACTTACTTCCTCAGATTTCCTTTGTCTGAAAAAAAAAATAAAATCAGTAAATGAGAGCATTAAAAAGTTAAATGTAGATTTGAATAGACACTTATGTGCATATATTCCTTTTCCTTACCTGCTGGCTGGACCGCGAACAAATTCCTTCAAAGTTGTCGGCTTGAACTCCATTCCAGCTGTAAAGTACTGCGTTTTCTGTAACCAATATCAATTGTTGACTTATCATTAAACATTTATTCATAACTAGCTGTGCCCGTGACTTCGTTCACGTGGAATAGTGACTATGAGCAGCGTTTTTTTTTAAATAATATATACTCACGACGTGATTTTTTAATTTGACATAACTTTTTTATTTATGAACCGATTGACATGAAACAAACACTAAAGCATAACTGAAGCATACCACAATATATTCGTGAAAACCACATCCAACTCGGATCAGCCGTTTCTGAGATTAGCGTGAACAGACAAACAGACAAACAGACAAAAAAAAAGTTTATTACATTTTTGGGTTCGACATCGACATAACAATAACCCCTGCTATTTTTTTTATTTTTATTTTCAATGTACAGACAGCACTTTTCTACAATTTTATTATAAGTATATATATATATATAGATATATAGATATATAGATATAGATTTCCGATTGAACTGTCGAACACCAAGCGGTCACCGGTGAACGCAACCTATTGTTCTTTAATTGTGTCTATAATGACATGTAGATACTGCACCCAACAGTGTCGTTACTAACAACTTACTCCATACATGCGCATGAGACACGACCATATCATAGCAAACTTGTATCAGGGTGATTTTTACATGGTCGAGAAAAATTACAAGAGATAAAAGTTCACATGACAATAAACTGACCCGATCTTCTTCAGTAACAATATGACTCTTCTTCAGATCCTTCCTGGATATAGTCTTATACTGCAGTGCCTTAGTGACGACGGACACTGTGATGGTGGTGGTGACCAGCTCTAGCACCGTCTTCCGAGTAGCTTTGGGGGCTCCAGACATCTTCAGTTTAGACTTCAGACCTGCTGAGATCCCCACCGTCTCCTGCCCCACAATATCAGTAGTCGCTGATAAGTGAGGCAGTTCTAATGTGTAGCAGGAGACGTCCGCAAGACTTATCTTCCATGGAAACGAGTCGTCTTTGGGCTCTGAAATTAGGACAAATGCTAGTTTATTCACTTCTTTATTCTTACGGCGGTAATACTTTCTAAGTAGCGAAACATTAGCTTATTATAGTGTGGATGGTGAGTTGTTCTTCAATGTGGAGGACGAAGGCCCTTGTTCAGCAGTGAACGTTATTTGCCTGATGACGAGGATGTTGTATCATGTTTACCCTATGCGTCATTCAAGATAAAAAAAACAGCGTAGGCACATACATAGGCGCAGGCGCTTTGATAGTAGTTACTTAGCATAAGATATGGTATGTTTCTGAACAAGTCACCAGGTATACACCCACTTTACTCAGTAATTATTTATGTTAGAGTTTCTTAGACCCGTGTTTCGCATAAACTAACAATTAATGCTGTATACTATACTCACTTTCTGCTAGGAATGTAGGTCCGTCATGTCGTAGACTCTGCCACAGGCGATTGCTGAGAGTGCTGGACTGCATCGACAGTCGACCGAGACTAGAACCATAAGACATAGGATTACCTGTTTTATTCACGTGAACATAGGCAGACATGTCTATGTCTAATTAGATATATTAAAATACGTAACATTCTCTATTCACCAGTTAGCTTTAATTTTCAGAAATCATAAATCCCTTTACAATTTTTAGCTCAGCAATTGTACTTGATCAATGAGGCAGTCATAATAATTATGTGTCGAGTTGTGTGATGAAGTTAAGAATTGAAAAGCTCACCATATAGCCAATACTCTGTGTGCGGCTGAGGCGTGTCGTTCCATGGCGTCTCTGAGGGTGTGACAGTCTACCGCGGAGGCCGTACTCATGGTGACATACACGAGGGCCAGCCCCAGCTCCACGTTGAGGACCATCCCCTGCAGCCGCCGATAGAGCTCAGTCACCCTCTCACCTGCCGCAAGCGCTGCTTGTTGCTGACTTGTGACCTGTAAATATTACACACTTCACCTTTTAATGGGTTTCTTGATACCTAATTCTTTCTTCTGTCGCTCTTTATAAATCGCCTCTCTTTTTCTATTACTTTACCCCGTCTTTTACTTCTATTCCACCTGTTTCTTTCTTTTCCTCTCCCCTTTTCTTCTTTCTCCCCCTGATCCCCTCTCACCCTTTAAGCCTCAATCTCTGTCTAGCCCTCCCCTCTCCCACTGTGTCTCCTTCCCTCCAGCTTCCTCTAACCCTCTCGCTGTTTCTTTCTTTCTCCAATAGCCCACAAAACAGAAACAAACCTCTAAACCAACAAACCTGCGGTACGATTTTATGTGCAGTAACTTTGTCTTTCTTCTCACTCGGCTCACTACTGGACCCGAAGCTGCGCGAGCGGTAGTGAATCAGTTCCGCACCTTGTGCGGACCCCGCTCTACTGCCACCGCGACCACTCGATGACTAAAAGGAAATTTTAATTCACTTAAAACATTTACTCCCCAATAAATACGCAAATATCGTCATCACATCACATCAACAGCCTATAATTACCCAACTGAGCAAAGGACTCTTCTCATACGGAGAATATTTCACGCAAATAATAAGGACAGTCATTACGGTCATAGGACGTAGGTCCAGCAATAGTCGTCTTGTGGCCCAGATCAAAATTCTACTTTGAAGGATGAGCATTCATTTGATTTATGAATGATTTATACAAGTGTTATACAGACCGGTGGTGTGCTCCGGCGTCGCAATGATGTCTGTTGTGTTTGTGACAAGCTCTTCATTGCAGCTGGCAGAGACGCCTCTGTAAACATATTATATTAAACAATACTTTATTTGCTTTATTTTTGTAAAAATATCCTACAAAAGATTGTATAATCTTCTTAGAAAATTTCTTAAAATTATCAATTTTCTTAATATTTTTTTACAGCTGGGATTGGAGTCAAAAACCAGAAATATAATACAGTTGCCAGCAGACAAACCTAGCACAAACTAAAAAGATAATGAGCAGAGATATACATAATCAATGTGAAACGCACACCTTGCTCATCATTTTGGGGATTCAAAGATGTGATAATAAGAACAACAAAACTCAAAATAAAATAATAATAATTCTTTGTTAACCTCTTTAAAAAAATCGATTAAAAAACCTTTTCCTAAATAACAACACTTTTCTCAAAACCGGTATCAAAATCGGTTCAGCTATTCGCAATTATTGGGCACAAACATACGTACATGCATACATACAAGTCAAAGTGAGAAACTCCTTTTTTTGAAGTCGGTTAAAAAAGAAAATACCTAAATGTGTATCATACATATATCAACATCGGTTGGTGTCGTCACCGCGGTCGAGTGTCACAATTTACTTAAAAATACAAATTGCAGAATTCATTTTGCTTCACCGAAAGTGACTTTTGCGAGTACCGGAATACGGTTCATAATAAACAATTCATTAACTTACGATGTCGAAAATTATAAATGATATCGGTTGGTGATTGACATCGTACCTAGTCCAGGAGCTGGCGACCATAAATATGAGTAAGAGACAACCGGCGCCACCTAGTGCCAAAATGACTTGAGAAAGTTGCGTTGCTGGTAGCTCAACATCTAATCTTTCAAACCTCGACAACGAAGAGATGAAGGCATAAAAGATTTGAAATCCACTACGGAAAACTTGGCTTTAGAATACAAGAAAATCAACGGCGCAATAAAAAATATCACTTCGGAACACACTACAATGCACAATAAAATAAGTCGTACGACCTATTGTAATGTTTACTAATAAGGAAAATATTTGATAATGCCGTTCAACATAATCTTGGAAACCAAAATCAACGAATTCTGCGAGCATCTAGAACTAAAACCTACGGAAATATATCACTCTCATATCAAGGAGTAAAATTGTATAACAAACTGCCGAATAATATTAAAGAGTTCCACAAAGTGATAATATATTTAAAATACGCCTTAAAAATATATCACGGCTCAAATCTGTTGGAGGATAGGGCAGAGTCCATACACTCTTTTTGATCATCATTACACAAGCAAACAGTTAAACAAAACAATTGAGATGAATATCTACTCACCAGACTTGACAGTGGGTTTGTAGGCCAGCCACGCTATGAGTAAGGGGTCCACGGAGAAGGCCACAGGTTCCGTCCAAACGCCCAGGTAATCGAACGAGTTTTCCACCGGGGTGGTGCACCATTGGACCGCGAAACGAAGGCAGGGCCTGGAAAACAAACATACTTAACATCATATTCTACGTAACACAGTTTCGTGTCAAACAGCCCCGTCGTTGCTCCCGTGTATAAGAATAATAGTTATCTTTGATTTAGTCGGAATGCACCCGCAATGAGGATGAATTATGAAAAATGAATTAGTATTTACGCACACATATGGGCAGTGAGTGTATTTATTTCATTATAATATGTCTTTGCATACTAAATATGCATTTGGGAGCAAAGAAACAGAGCTAGTAGCGGTTTTTTTATCATTTTATCCAACCCTGTATAACTTTAAAAAACTTTTACAACAAAATGCTCTCATTTTAAAGGTAATTAAATTGCCTTTTATGCGACATACGTTAACAATTAATCAAATAAGCGTATAAGAAAATATTTATCAAGAAGCGAAAAATAGCCTAGGGGCTCCATTTCATAAATAAAAGAAAGTCGTGTTAATAAGGAAGACCAAACGGGATACGAAATAAACTTTCCGCGATTGCACATACATATTTGGTCCTCAATTTAAGTTACAAGTGCGATACCGGCACAGATATCGGCCTTTTGAGAATTGGGAATTGAGGATTGTGAAAGATTCGGGAATTGAGGAGACTGAGGAAAGGGGTATATGGGCTTCCGGTAACCTCAATCACACGACGAAACAGAACGCAAGCGGTGTTTCACGTCGGTTTGCTGTGAGGCCGTGGTATCACTCCTGTCGAGCCGGCCTCATGCATGGCTTTCGTGGGACATAAGTGTGGACTTACATTTCAATGAAGAGTAACATCGTCATCAGTCCGTAACCCACAAAAGTTTTGGTAGTAGATTGCCAGGTTTTTGCTGCCATACAAAGCCATTTGTGAACCTCAAAAATCATAAGAGCTTATCCTCGCTTTAATAATAACTACATCATTAAAATTGCGACATACTTCAAAGCCATTGATTACAACATGTCCCGTCGAAATTACAAAAAGGGCTGATTGGGAAAGATAGGATATATAGAAAAAAATCCCATATCGACGCCACGTAGTTTAGACCCGAATTTCGTACCTACCACATAACCATATAACAATCCAAGAACTGGTTAAATGTTTGAAAAGTAAAGATACGGCCCCCGGTTGTGATAAGATCTCATATTTTATGATAACACAATTACCAGACAACAGAAAACAAATTTTACTCAATCTATTTCATTCATTTCTGAAATACTCATTCGTAGCTACACAGAGACGCGATATAGTAGTTATATAAGGAAATGCAAAAACAAAACCAATAATGTATGACACTTGCAAAAAGCCATTTTGCGGTGTTTGTAACGTAAACAAGATGTTAAATGTAAAAATTATATTTAAATCAATTAATTAATAGGATAATTATACATTATTGTCTCGTTTAATAGTATAGTTACCATTAAAACTAAAAATACTGGCAGCAGTCATTTGACCGGTCGCCATTTGTAGGTAGATGTTTTTTCCGTCTTTCTAGTGTTTACTTATTTAAGAGTACCTACATAATAATAGTATAATTTGATAACTTTGGGTAGAAAGGTCGTATAAGCAATTTGGCCATGGGTGAGGGGCACATTTCGGTAAATTGAAATTCAAGCAAAATACCTGTTCCTCAAATATAACTATCCCTCTAAATAAACATAATGCTAAACGAAACTATGTGTGTTAAATATGACAATCGTAATTACGCCAAACCAAATAAAGTTCTGCCACATGCCACATGCCACGACGGCATACTTTTAACATTAAAAGTATGTCGTTGCAAATTCGGACATGTAAACGTTCTGCCAATCAATAGATTGCTAAATATTTTTATGCCTTAAAAATATTCGATGAAAGAAAATTGTACCAAGTGTATTATGCCAAATAAAATTCGGACTATATCAAGATTCTGCCAAATAGAAGAAACCCGGACTAGTTAAGTGAAGATAGTTGCAGGGCTGGAGAGTGACATAGGCTACATTTCATCTATTTCTATTTTCTAAGCCCCAATATAAACGGAGGGTGGAAGTTTGTATAGCATTCTGCATTTTTCAAGGTATAATGCTTTTTCATTAAATCTGCTCAAAACCCTCTAAAAATGTGAGCTAATTCGCAGGTGAAAAGCTAGTAGGTAACTAATAAATGGGTGGATCGGTGGTGGTAAATCGGGTGGGTTGATTATTCGGTGCTAGAATAATATTAATTGAGATCCTACGAATTCTGAGAATAACAAGATGATTCTATTAGTCAGAATTCAATGGATATATGATTATAAACGGTTTTTAATAGGAAAAACTAAATATATATTGGCGTTAATTGCGACAGTAAATTCACATTTACTGTCGCAATTAACGCCAATATTTATTTAGTTTAGTGTAAGTCTATGGTCACCCATAGACTTACAAAACTGGATATACGACCTATACACTTTTTTTAGAGTACTATTAATGGGGTGTACTATTCATCAAGAATTGGTGTTTTCCTGAGTGTAAATTAAAGCTAACTTTAAAAGTAAACAAGCCGAGTTTTGTTATATACGACCTTTCTACCCAAAGGTATCGATCGTACATGTATAATGCTGATGCCGTACATGTATGCATTTTTCTGTGCCTATAATTTAGATAGTGTTACAAGTCTTAACAATTGTTATCAAGCAACACTCCCGGCCATGCACATACGGCTAGTTCAGACACAATGATTAATCATTATTAGATTGATTGTTTCATAACTGAATTAATTATTTCATAGTAGAGTAATTAATAATTTTACTAATATTTTTTTACACTGAAAACATTTTATTTTATCTCCGTCTTAAGAGCTTCCGGTTTGATAAATCTTTAATATTACTTATTCCTGTATTATTAAACAATAATTATGCATAAAAAATAACTAGAATAATTTAGATAAACGCTGTTTAACAATATATATTAGGTAAGGTATGTAAGGTAACAATATAAATTAGGTCAAGATGTTTTGTATAAATACCGCCCCTTTTAGAATATTATGATTCATTCTGATTGTAACCGCTACACGAAGATAAAGGTACAAATTAAAACGTTGTATCTTATAATAATCGTGTCTTCGTTGCTGCCGATCAACCTTCTATACAATATTCAACCAGGGAATTCAGAAGAGGAGGTTCTCAATACAGCCGGTACGTTTACTATGCTCATTTATTCAATATAATTGTGTTCACCCGTTACGCCGGGGTTTCTGGACCGATTTGCGTGATTCTTTTTAACTGCATATTTTATTAGTTGTGTCGCCATTTTGAATAACATTCAACGAAATCATTTAAAAGGAGGATTTTTAGAACGTTTTTAATTCGGCCGATCTGTGTTATTTTACTTTTTTTTAACCGACCTCCCAAAAAAGAGTAGGTGCTCATTTCGGAAGGTATTTTTTTTGGTATTTGTTTAGAACTTGGCGCACCGAATTCTAAACTGTTAGGTAGACAGTACAATGAATAATAGTTATTTTTTTGGATTTTAGTTAATGATGCCACTGTTAAATGTAACACCCACTTTTTACTGTTTATGTTATGAGTCCCATGCATTAGGGGGTGAGCCTATTGCCATATACCGGGTACAATTCCAGACTCCGTGCTACTACTGAGTATTTTTAAAAACCCTGTAATACTTTGCCCGACCAGGGAAGCGAACCGGAGACCCCTTGCCCAGCAGTCGCGCTTGCAACCACACGGCCAATGAGGCAGTCGATAGATACTTAAATCCCTGAATATACTACGTAACTGAGTAGTAGAAACACATGTATGCAATTAATCCATATATTTGGGGTATTTATACAAAGTGCCATTATATAGAAGACAAGCCCTTTTCGTTCAGTTGTTGTTGCTCGACATAAATGTATTTTGATAAAATTATTTTGTGTTTGCTTCCAGGTTCCAACAGATAAACGCACCAACAAGTCGCAAGATATCGCCCATAAGGGTGAAGGTAACAGTGATATTGCGAAAGAAGATACCAGTGGTTCCTACCTTCTTGACTGGTTGCCACCAGAACATTTTATTCGCACGGAATTTGAAGCATTTTTTGACGTAAGTATCGAATACACTGAGACAAAACACACCACTATTGCTTGTCTTATTACACATCAAGAATGTAGTTCTTAAAGTTGAAGGTTGTATATAGTCATTGCTTTGTTTGCAAACTTAAAGTTAATCGATAGTCGTAAAATGTATATTACATACTAATCTTTATATTACAGGTGCTTATTATAGATTTCGAAATGGCTGAATACGAGTCCAGTTGAAAAGAACAAGGAATTAATCCAAGAAAATGATAATTTAACTGATAAGCTATCTTCATCTGACACAAGCGCAAAGGAAGACCAACAGTCAGTCATTTTGTTACATATGGTGGTAATAAATATCAGTGTTTTATGAGTGAAATTAATGATACTACAAATTACCACTAGATACAATTTGCGAAGATGAAGAATTGGAAATGCAGTATATTATTTCAATGCAGTATATTATTGAGTTCATAAAGGTAACGACTGATGTTGTTAGTTGTACATATGTAGTTAATGGATAGGTGCAAATAATATGTATGGCTGTGTTGTTGTTATAAGTTTTTGTATTAGGTTTTTATTTAAGTTTTTTTTATTAATGTTAATTATAAGTTTCTATATTAAGTGACAACATTATCGCATTGGGTGTAACCTGTTAGGATGTGTTGTTGAATTAAATAAATAAATAAATTATGTACGAAGACCTCCAGTATGAAGGTATGAATATGTCACCGCTGAATGGAATATTTGATAATAAACCATGTATTTTATTATGTATAGATAGATGATCGATGGAATAGAAAATCGATTTTAAAATTAAGTATGTTCATAGTGACACTGAATTCATCCCGTTAGCTAATATCATGGGAGGTTAGTACGAGATGGCTAAAGTTTCCCCGCCAATTTTAATGTCAAATTATTAGCTTAAACCGCGACACAGACATTTTTGTGGGAAATGGACCTTTTTTATCGGTGTAACAAAGGTCTAAAGCATTGGTAGAGCTAAGATATGGAAATAGTGATATGGTCAAAGATCATATAGAAGGTAATATATTACTAACAAAATTTGATCAATTCTATACAGACTTTTACTATTCCTTTGTTTATTTAGTATCAATATTTAATTAAACTTTTTAAACTCAAATATATCACTTTCTACTTCTATTTAATTGTTAAGCTAGTGTAGTGTTTGTATATTTGGAATTGAATTAAATAAATTTTGCAAAATTATTGTTGGTTTTCTCTAATACCTTTAAACGAACAATTCTTATATAAGTCGTAGGTGGTTATGGGTACTACCTAAAATGGTGACGTCATTGATGTACACGCCTCATTCTTTAAGGAACTGGTCATGCATTAATGATTCTTCGTCCAGAATAACAGTTAAACTCAAATATGATTCACTTGGTTTATTTTACAAAGTTACAAGTATCAGAGCTCTGAACAATTGACAAAAATTTCAAGAACAAAGTGTATTTATAGTGTGGCGAGTAATATTTTCTTATAATTTCTAGTGTGGGTATTAAATTATTTAAATTTTACGTCGTAATTGACTATTTAACAAACATTTCAAATATTGCTTATTACATTTTTAACATTCAATCATTCGTTCACTGTCATTCTTCCGCCGTCATATCCAGGGTGCCCAGGAAGTATGGATCAAATGGAAAAGCGTCAAAGAAAAGGTAATTTCCTTAGTACCTTTTTGCTCTGGGAATATAATGACCAGTTTTAGCTTTGTTCAGTGATTTTCCAATATGCTTAAAGTAGTGATCACAAACAAGAAGCTATCGGTGGCACCAATGTAATTTTTAACTGCATTCCAATAAAAGGAGAAGGTTATAAAACTTCTTATAATTATGAATACGTGTGTTAGATTACTTACGTTGTGGTAGGCGCATCGGGAGCGGAGAAGAGCCACGCTTGTTTCACAACACCAGCCTCTGTAGTAACAATAATTGATTTACAATGATGGCAACAGGAAGCTATATTCTGTTATCTTCCAAGATAATACATGACGGTAAGACGGTAAGAATTTAAAATAAATTATTTTTATCATTCGAAGAACAATACCTGTTGAACAAAAATTTCCTTCTTACGGCAGTAAGGCAGTTTTCATAATTCATAATCCACAATCTCGAACGATTTGGGGATGAAGCATGACTATACGCCACATGCTTTCCTCCATAAATAATGTATAAGGCCTCTGCATCTCTGTAAAATTCGAGGCAGAGGCCTTAAGGGTTTGCTGTTAGTTGACCAAAACTTTAGATAACGCCGTTGCCCATGTCTATTCTAAATAGAGACAGTGACTGGTCTATTCTAAGTAGAGTGTTTTACAAACTTACTGGGTTCATGTAGAGCGGTGGCTTTGGCGGAGTGTAGCGTGATGACATGCATGTTGACGTTGTCCGTCAGGTAGCCCCGTATCGTGCCGTCCTCCAGCGCCAGGTCGATAGCCACTGCGTCTGTTAACAATGCATTATGAACCTTATCAGCTATGCCTATTTATATGAAAACTATTATTTTTAAGACCTAGTTACGCGATTAATCTCAAAAGAGAACTAATAATTAGGAGTGCAGTTGACCTATGTAGGTCATAAAAGATTTTCTCTGTTCAGTTTCAGATTTCATGTCTAACGAAACGTCTCAATCTGAACAAGTCATAATGTTTATTAGACAAGTACGATGAAACTTGGTTATTGGGACTTGCATAAGTGAGTAATCACAACTAGAACTCATACTGAGGTCCCAACACGTTGGCACAGAATTACCTCTGTTAGTGGGAAAAAATAATCCCCTTTATCTGGGATTTATTCTTTCGATTTATTATCATAGTTGCCTCTATAACTGAGAGATTTTTTATTAAAACTAATTTACAATGTTCACATAACACTTGTTATATTTAATAATCGCACCTCTTCATCTGAAATAACCTGCATTTTCACTTTTATTAATGCAACCTTTTGTAAATGAGACATATTTATTTATACCTGGTTATCTGAGACACTGGGTTGGTAGATACACAGGTATTATAATATAATATATTTACAGATAAGTGATAGGCGCTTTGCTTTTGAACTATTCTGACCTGATTGAAAGTTTTGAAAGATATTGTTTGTAGAAATGAAGAAAAAAGGCTTTAGATTCTGTACGAACCTAAAACCTTTTTTCTTCATTCACTAATAACAAGAAACAACTTAGTATTCTATAAACTGACCTTGGTCGTTAAGTGCGTCTCTGGGTAGTGTAGTATGCTTTAAAGCGATGGACCGCTTTTCTATCGTCAGTGACGTAGGAACATGGTATGCTGCCTGCAGCCGCGCGAAAGATCCGCATATACTCATTTCCTCTGCAAATTAAAAAGATTTTGTTTTTATTTTTTTTTACATACAACATGGTGAACGTTTTTACTTGTTACAGAAAATTATTACGTGTTTTAACACGATTTAAAATATATACTTTGATCGGAGATGAATAAATTTTGATTGAGCCACAACGACCGTTTCAAAGATCGATGTTATAATCAATAATCAAATTCATTTATCAATTGTAAACATAAGCAACATTATGGTCTTAAATAACATTGTTAACTTTTGTCAGCAAACAAAATTATAAAATAGTTGGAAACAATGATTTGGATTGATTAATATCACTTAATGTGGTCTACATGTTTCGAGCAGGCTTTTAAAAAATAAAACATAGGTATAAAACATAAACTTACTAATTTTCAGATGATAAGCGAACTCAATGGAGTCTCTATTTTGGAAGAAGGATTTGTAGAGTAGTTGATGTGTGACTAGCTTGATGTCTGCGCGTGCGCAAGGCCGATTCTCAGTGCCGTCGGCATTGGTCAATCTGATCTGTACGGAGTTGAGCGTAACGGTAGTGTGCCGTCTCGCGCCTTGCCATAGAGAACCGGAGTCTTTGGGCATCTGACTGGCTGCTGAACATACCCTGCAAGACACAACGGAGTTATAACATAAAAGTAATGAGATAAAATCAAGAAGAAGTAAATACAGATCGCCTACTACGAGTTTGTTTAACGAGATCGAAACGTCACCGTTTAGCCCGTTGATTGGCCAGCTCCAAAATGAACAACCAAACAGATCGCTAGACGCGTTAACGTAAAAAAAATTCGCACATTTTACTTTAAACCCTCAAAGTAAATGATTGTAAACATGACAATGTATAGTTTTTTCCCAATGAGTCGAAACTCATTGGGAAAATAATCGATTACAAATCGAAATTTGTAATCGATTATTTCGTTCCCAAACTTGTCACAATTACAATAGGAGCGAAATTTGTTCTTCACGGGAATGATACCTACCTATGTGGATACAAGGGAGCCATGACGATGGCACTAGCATAGGGTAACTCGAACTCCAATACGACGGGTTCAGGCGTGGGCTGGCGGTCTCCTACGATGTGGTTCCACGGTATCAGACGCACCAGTGCGCCCATCACCTCCAACTTGATACGACGCTGTGGCAAGTTCTCCGTCAGAGCTTCCTTCTCTTCAACTGTCAGCACTCGCTTTGGCAACTCTACACAAAGAAAAAGACAACACTACAGTATACTTACATTAAAAGAATGATACTCAGTACCGAGTAAAGGCCTCCCCTTTAGTCATCCACGAACGAGAGCTAACCATCATATCACTGTGACGAAAATGTCGTCGGTCTACCAAGCGAGAGATTTTAATTGTAAATTCCGTAATGTCTGTTTTATTGGTTAGTAACAGTATCGCAAGAAACTGGCACGAATAACCAAAGCCTTGTGTTTGGAGATACCAGAGGCTCAATCATTCAGGTATGTCTTTACATTATTCTCACATGTGTGTACAATATTGGAATATGTATCAGAGCAATGTAAAACAGACTTTTTTTTAAAAGAGTAACGAATGGAGTTTCTTGCTCGTTCTTCTCCACTCGAATCGACATTTTGGAACGAGCGCCTAGCTTCACTGACGGACAGAATGACAGACTATTATTTATTTCATATTTGTTGACGTTTCAAAAGTACCAAATTAAGGTTTAATTGAAATAAATGCTTTTGAGTTTGAGTTTCCCTTCACTCCAAGGCTTCCTCCAAGCTTCTCTCCACTTGTAACTCATCTGAGGCCTTTGGTGTTGCGATTATCCGCGATGTCAATTGCTTACCATAATAAACTGAGAACCTCCTTTCTCTGAAGTCGGTTATAAAGAAGTTACCTGGCTCAGATGCCGCGTGTTCCTTGTATATGTTCTTGACCGCTTGCAGCCGGTGTATGAGCCCCATGCAGATTCTTAGCTCTAATGGTTCCACCGCTACCGTCATGCTGCATTCTTCGCCCCAATCACTGTGGAACAAGTGACCAAATTGAATTGTGGTTGTGTAAATCACTAATTTGTTTTACAATTGCAAATGATGACCTTTTGTCTTTTGTCTTTAGCTGGCTTTGTGTATCACTTAATACGTTAATTTATATATTACTAGCTCTTACCCGCGGCTTCCCTCGCGTCACAAAAGGATAAAAAGCCAATGTGACATATACCAATACACACAGCGCCATCTATACCAATACTTTTGTTTTCCCTCGGGAATATCAAATTTTTCAGGGATTAAAAGTACCCTATTATTTAATCCAGACATCTAACTTTACGTCTGCAAAATTTCAAAGCAATCGGTTTAGAAGATACGGCGTGAAAGCGGAACAAACAAACAAATAAACTCACTTTCCCATTTATAATAGTATAAGGATTTAATAAATTTGATACAACATAATATGCATAAATTCAGAGTTGTAATGTATGGAACTATACTGTATGAGACGGGCTACAATGATTGCGTAACGTAGACGTGCGCGTTGACTCAGTGATACGTACGCGTCTACGTATACTTATCCAATCTGCTTGAGCCAGTTATTTTTAATAGTCAAGCTTACTAACCTGTACTCAAAATCTTTAGGCGGATTATCATATGGGTTCATCAGTTGGTGAGGGGGTGACCGTTCATGCACGTACTCCACAAACAAGAGTGGCGCCATCTTGTTCCAGAGCTCGTCGATATCATCCCTGTCTTGTTTGTCCAGGCTCGGCTCAACCGAGGTCGGTTTCATATCTTGTACGCTTGGTGTAGGGGATACAGTGCTGCCTTCAGGTTCCTAAAGAAGTTTTATTTGATTTATAAACCTTTCGTATACCTTTTGCGTTATGATTTGTGTTAAGTGGGTTTTATTCCGCATGCATGTGTATTTTTCTTCATATGCGCAGTTTATGTGATGTATGAATGGTACATTCTCTAGATATGGACGCACGGGAATTAAAAAAAAATGTTAGGCTTGTAGTAGATGGGAGTAACCACCTGTATATAATGTATCTGATATTATAATATACTAGATCTCTCACTCACCCCAGCAGTAGTGGCCGGAGGGTTTTCGTCAATGACCTCAGCAACCTTCACCTTGTCATTGAGCACCCCTTCCGGCCACGTCCACACCGTCTCCATCTGTGATGCTGTCTTTATCTTCTTCAAGTAAACTGTCGGTTCCGAATTCAACTGAGAAAACATTACAAATCATCAAAAGACGTTCATTGCTGTACAAAGCCATCCCCCCTACAAAGGGGACCGGGACTTGCTAATATAAATTTATAATTTATTGTGTACTTTTTATGTGATAGAGAACTGTACATAGGATAAAACTATACGACATCTCTGTCCCATATTCGTAACAAACTAGTCACATAATATTTTGAATTTGAATTTTGATAGTAGGCAAACGCCTTTCGTCACCTTGGCTGGCTTTTTGGGGGGTAAGGGAAGGGATTAAGCCTGGGTAATCTCACTTGTATATGTATTGTTGTAATTAATGGTTTTTCTATACGTTTTTACATATATTATAATACTTACAGTGTTAAAATTAACGTGTCCGCAGACACATCTCCCGTGGGACTGCATCATGAGCTCTCTTGCACCGAGGCGTATCCTCAAGTGGGTAGGGTGGCAAATCGAAGTTTTTAGCGCAGCAAATGATGCCGAGACCTCTAGTACTGCGCGCGAACGCTTGCGACTGCCCGATTCCGTCTCCATCACCTATCAATGGAAATTATATCTATTAATCTTTTATTCACACCTTCACGTATCTTCTTTATTAATGCAATTTTGTTTATTTCGTTGTTCTGTAAGGTTATTTCACTTGCAGGTCATATTGTGGTAACTCAAACACAAGTCAGCCACTGTGACTCGTCAAACTGTTTAACTTGTAAGTGAAAGTAAACTTCCATTTGTAAGTGATAAGACTAAAATATAATGCCTTGGTACATCAGACTCTTTTGAATATTTACATCTTTATTACAAGGTCCTAAGATTGTAATTAGGTTAAAAATGTGTGTTAGACCAATTCTCTCTATTTTTAATATGGATAGTACCTTGAACACCAAGGAGACATCATCTAGATAAGCGCTGAAGTATATGGGCAGCGAGGTGGGTGGCAGGGGTGCTTCCTCCAAGTTCGTGTCGCGATCTACCCACGTGGGCAACCAGGACCACGCCCACTCCGACCAGCTCTCTTGCCGAGTTGGCTCCGCCGAGTTTGATGATGTCGAATCTGGTACCAGACAAAAGCTATATTCATCAATGGTTAGACTCACAATTCAATTACATTGAGAACCAGTCTACCCTAACAGTCCACTGTTGGTTTATAGGCAACTGTTACGAGAGTTTGCCATAATATCCCCACGCTTAGTAACGAAATAAGAAGTCGCGGGCACAGTTAGTAACAAAATAAGATACAACTTACGGAGCGGCGTTTGTGCAACAGATGCCTTGGGCGGAGGCGGCGTGACGGTGGTGATCGGCCGCTCCTTGATGAGTCGGAGCAACAACGCCAACTGTTCGTTGGTGACGCTCCACGCTAGCTTACTGGACCGCATCTGCACGTTCAAACTTGTAGCGCGACGTGTATTCGCAGATATTAGGCGGGTTAGAACTCTGGAAGAAGAGTAGAAGAGAATTAGAGTATTATTTATGTGTTCAAATAATAACTTTATAGTCATTTTTAAATGTTCGAAACGCTTTTTTCTATTTTTATAATCAAGTAACTTTCAGTGGATGTTGTGGATAAGTACTGAGTACCTACAATGAATAATAATTATTTTTTTATTTGTATTTTATGGATTTTGAAGTCGGTTTTTTGAACGTAGTTTTTTTACCGACTTTAAAAAAGGAGAAGGTACTATGTTCGGCTGATTGTTTTTTTATACTTAGTTTTATTAACGTTACATACCTGAGATCTAGCTGACACCTATACAATAAGGGTTCTTGAAAAAACCGTATCTTGCCATCTCCGTCAGATTTGTCCAGACACAGAGTGAGATCGTCTAGGTGCACTAGCCTTCTTATCACTGGTTGCGCCTGGTCAATATCTAGAAAATAAATAATAAAATAAAAAACTTAGTGTACCTATGCATAAGTATTTAGATCAAGTAACCTTGATATCCAAATCAATCGCAAAAAGGTACTATCATCTGAATTAGTTTTAGGCACATACGATGGATTTCATTCATACCTGCAAAAGCGGGTTCCCAATTGGGTCCAGCGCTGTCGACGCCGAGGTGTTTGACATTGAGAGACAGTACTATATCGTCCTGCACGTACTTGACGATGAGGTGGTGCACGCGTAGCGCTATGTTGCTCACGATGCGCCGGACCAAAGCTTGCATGTAGCCCGGCGGAGCCTCCACTACCTGAGTCTTGCGGCTAAAGGTGTAACAATGGTGTTATTTTATACCATATTCTATCTTCTACATTTCATTCTAATACCTTCAGTTGTTATGACGTGAAGGAATGATAAACAAACATATAAACTTTTGTATTTATAATAATCATGGGATGTACACAGACAGTGTTAAAAGGCTGCCAGTACTTGTTACAAAAATATCAATATAAGTGTTGTGTTAACTATTATTATAAAAAAAACGTATAAATAAAAGTATAAAAGAGGTATAAAAGAGAAAGAGGTTAAGTTATTATTTGTTGAACTGTAAGATAATTAATATAATTATGAGGACTTTTAAATTCTTTCTATTTTTAACATTGTAAGCGTTACATTCATTAAGTGCAGAGTGCATATACTTTACCTCGGTGATGCTGGAGGCGGCGTGCCATCGGGCGGGACAGGCGGATTCAGACTTAACACACATTCTGCAAGAAACACTCGAAGTTATAACACCAAAGCAAAATTATAATAGCGAACATAGGTACGTCAAATCACTGCAGGTGCAGTAAATTATGTAAAAAGAAAATTTAAAGCATCGTCATTACTCCTTCATTCGGTCCTTTCTGAACTTTAACCTACGTAATATTAAGTTCGATATTTGGGAATTATTGTCTTTTACTCAGTTTTGTATACCTATAGTATCGATGGTGACGACAATCGGCTCCGACATGATCTTGGTCCATGGTACTTGTATGAGCAGCTCGTGGATGCGGCCGGAGACGAGGGTGAAGGGCAATGCCACTTCCTGCTGGAGCACGTCCGCCTTGAGCACCAGATTGTGGAGCGCCACGCCCCCGCCCCATAGTGACACCTTTATGAAATAGACACATCAAATTAGTATATTGTTCGTGTGGTGAGTTGACTTTAAGAGTCTTCTAGATTATGAGTCACTCGTGCACCTATTAAAATTAATAGGATAATTAAAATAGCTTTAATGACTAAAATCCACCCCATTCCTATTTCTGCTCTTTGAGCCGGAGCCTCGACAACCCGTTAAGTCCTCCGTGGCTCCGTATCGACATCAGCCCTACTGGGCACCATCTGTGGTGATCTGATGACTCTTTGAGCCGCCCGCGGAACGCGACGCGCCGCACGGTCGAGTCTGGTTCTGGTTGGGCGACGAGTTGCCCGTGTTTACGGTGGCTGGAGATTGTCTCGCGATCCCCGACGCCCGGAGTGTCTATCCCGACAGCTGGGGCGTGAGGAGGTTCGTTTCCTCACGCGCCCAGCCTCCTCCTTCGCTAGCATGACTGCTTCTCAAAAGGAGGAGACGGCATCTCAATCCCACTCGCTAAGTATCATGGTCTGAACCAAAACCGGACGCGAGAGGTCGTCGTCGCTGATCACATAACTGAGGACACGGCAGTGCTAAGCCCACGCAGGGCACACCGCTACCGGGTCCTCCGAGTGGTCCTTGCAGTGTTGTTCCTCAGAAACAGGAACCTACCGAAACTTCCCATAATTTTAAGTTATTCAAGGCAATTGAAAAATTTACGTTTTTATCCGACTGAAGGATGTGTTGTTTTTATTCTAGGTACTCCAAAGTAAACTAATTAGTCATTCGCTTTCATCGAATTCTCTCAAATTTAGTACAAATAAATTACAGTTACTATTAATCTAATATTGATCGTGTTAAAGTATGTATAAGTATTAAGTACCGCCTCTACGTAACAGCTAGGCCATTAGCGATAGTGATTCGATGACTTACGCTAATGGTTTTAGGTATATTCGAACTCTTAGTGTAGGTAAGTCTAGGTACCTAAATATTTATGGATATAGAAATGGGGATACTACGTTATTTTAACAGCCGTTTTTGGTAAAAGTATGAATACAAACATGTGTTTTCAAGTACCTACGTAGTTATCAGAACTATAGAAGGTTAAGCTGTAAGTTTATTCCAATCCCTATAGAATAAAAGTAGGTACAAACCTATAAATCGATAAACTCATTTTAGAATACCGTAAAACTGCAATAATTGCGGTTTAGCCAGCATGTGTGGGCTGTCAAGTTCTCACACATTATACAAATTACTTTTCTATTTTTTCAATGACAGTATGAACGCGACTTGCATAATACATGAGCCTGACTGACATATAATTACGGACTATCAACCTTGCGCTTGTGTCGAGGAAAGCTAAGTTTTTAAAACTACTTTTATTGCTAGATAAAATCGGTTTTGTAAATGTGAACCTTATTTATGACGCAAGATTAGAATAGCTAGTCAATTTGGAATGAATCATGCCGTTCTTATCTGTAGTATACGAGTTATTGATAGGTACAAGAAACAATTTCCTTGATGACACTGTTTTAATGATTACATCATTAATAACTCGTTCGGCAGTAAGAAATATTTAAATACAAATTATGTTACATTGTATATTTTAATATTGTATCTCAATATTATTATAATGAAAATATAAAGTTGACCTTGTCTAGCAGCAGTTTTATTATAAAATATTTTAAGAATAAAATATTTTTATAGATTGTCAGCATTTTCAAAGTCAAAGTCAAAGTCAAAATCATTTATTTCAATTAGGCCAGAATGGCACTTTTGAACGTCAACAAAAAAAAAATTTAAAGTGAAGCTATTTGCTCATTCCAAGGCGTAGATTCCTATGGAGAAGAACGAGCAAGAAACTCCATAGGTTACTCTTTTTCAATCAGGTTCACAATACAATTTACTAGTTACATAGTTTTGCTGTTTGGATTGTGCGAGAACAATGTAACACTAAAATCCAGTCAAAGTGATCAAAAAAGGAAATAACCTTAAGGACAGTAATACAGTCTGGAGCTGACCAGTCCCAGTTGACGGCGCCCGTTCACGAACATGACACGTACACCAGCACCGCCCAACTCAACCATATTGTAGGGAATCGAGCGATCCACTGCACGCGCCACCGCCAATGAGACCTTTGAGTGAGCATGCCAACTCCAAGCTGACACAAATGAAATCTACTAATCTAATTTAATATTAAGTTAATTACAGGGCTCTCACATTTACAATGGTTATCTAAGTTAAACAATATACAATTTAGCAAATGGCTGTATTATTTACGATTTCATTAAAACAAGTGTTTTTAGTTATCCTGTGGAGCCGGACTAGCCTGCATCCAAGCATTTTTATCCTCTATATATTCATTAAGTTTGTAATATGCTTGTCTACATAAAGTTTTCTTTATACATAATTTAAATTTCGATTCATTTAGTTGTTGTACATCGCCTGGTATCTTATTATAACATTTAACACAGAATCCCATGAACGACTTACTTACTTTCGCTAATCTCGAAATTGGCTGACTTAATCTATTCTTATGTCTAGTTTGATAGTGGTGTCTGTCCGACACTTTACCAAATAACTGTAGGTTTTTCCTAACATACATAATGTTTTCATAAATAAATTGACATGGAACGGTCATAATGTTGATCTCCTTAAACCTTTCTCTGAGTGATTCGCGACGACCTAGATTGTAGATAGCTCTGACGGCGCGCTTTTGTAAGATAAAGATAGATTCAATGATAGCAGCGTGTCCCCACAGCAAAATGCCATACGACATAATGCTATGAAAGTAACTGAAATACACTAGTCTTGCCGTGTCTATGTCAGTTAACTGTCGTATCTTCCAGACAGCATAAGCTGCAGAGCTCAATCGTCCCGCTAATGATGTAATGTGAGGACCCCATTGCAATTTGTCGTCTATAGTAATTCCCAGGAAAGTTGTCTCTTTTACAAACTCTAATTTCTCACCATTCAATAATATGTCACAATCGTTGCTTTTAACATTTGGCAAAACAAATTTAATACATTTTGTCTTTTTATTGTTTAGTACTAAGTTATTTAATGTAAACCAATTATGAACTTTCATTAGGGCATTATTTACGTCGTCGTATTTTACACACTTACGTCTAAAGCACGCAGGTAGAACATGGACATGAAGCACTGCATTCATCATCATCAACAGCCTATAAGTGCCCACTGCTGAGCAAAGCTTCTTCTCACACGGAGAGAGTTCGAGCAATCATATCCACGCTTGCTCAATGCGGTCGAGTTGGCGATTAGAATCTTATCAGAAATTTTAAATCGCCAACCTGGTTTTTTCGGTCTTAATAAGTCTAGATTTTTCTCGTTGTTGTTAATGATATTTTTCTTTTCTAACTGAATTTTAATTACAATAATTATGTTTACTTATATTTATTAGGTATATTTTATATTAACCTATAGATCCCCAAGCGGTCACCGGTGACCGCTCTCCCCTAATATTACATTACATTATAGACCTTATTTCCAATGTTTAGAGACTACTTTTGTATGACCAAATTTAGGGGATGGATTTCAACGGGTTAATTTGTTTTATGTTGTATATGATAAGTATTTTTTTATAGAACTAAGATGTTCTACAATAAGAATTATATTTAGAGCTCCTCGCACTTGCAATACAGGATTGTCCTAGTGCAGTAATCTAACTATCTGAGATCAATTGTACATTCTTAAGATATATTTTTCAATTATGAATAAAATTTTCTTTATAATTATTTATTAAATTAAATTCTTTATAAAACCAGTGAAAGTAAAGCCGGTTCCTTCAAGAAGCAATGATACATAGTTATATTATATTTATTACTATTGCTTGAATAACTATTGAAACCCAATCTCCTAATGCTGCAATATGTAATCACAAAACCAAAAAAAATATTTTTTCATTACCGAAAAAAAAAACACTTTCAATAAAATATTTTGCTAGTAAGCAAGTAAAATTGTTACACAAGATTTTACAGTTAGACAAGGATTGGACAGTTACATATTTAACTATCTAACTTCAAACAGGCATTAACATGAGCGAGCTGCAGACAGAAGGTTAAGAAATTCGCTAGTGGTTGTGTAGAGAAAAATAAGCTCTATCGCACAAACATGTAAGTAGTTTTGGTTTGACAATCCTTTGCAATTGCCTCACCTGTGCATCAGCTGGTTTGAAGTCTCGCACATATTTGTCCACGTAGCTCAGCAAGATGGGTGTGACATATGACTCTATTTTAAACATTGTTCACACTGCCACTACCGTCCAGTATTCTTCATAATGAGGTGTTTTTACTGCAATCAAAACAATACAAGTTGTATACAATGAATGTTGCATTATGAGTCAGCCTTTGGCCTTTCTAGAAGTCAGTAATTTGATAGTATGATGTGACATCTGGAATGATGGATTACTCTGGAATTTGAATAAATTGTACATCTCGGCATACATTTGTCATTTTTGTTTTTATTATTTTGTGTATTTTATTATTTGTTAAATTGCCATTCTTGACAAGCAGTTGCATTTTTTTATATATTAGGATATGCTATCTAAAAAAACATCTCTGAAGTCCTACCTCTGATTGTTGTCTCTTTGAATTATTTATAGACTTGTTAAGTCAGTAATCTCAAAGTAACAAAATTATCCATGATATTTATGTTTCTGGCTAAGCATAATATCTAACAAACTAGAAGACCTCATTTGCGTACAGCTAGAGGGGACATCTTTCTAAAATTTGATTTATGTGGAGTAAATTGTTTTTAAAAATTAATTATGCTGAGATTTCCTTTCCAAAACAATTTCCCTATAGGTTCCCTACTAAGTTTTCAGTCAAGTATACAGTATATTGTGACGTCACCATAGTCACTAATTTGCACCGCGGTGTCCTCCAGTTTAAAACTACGATAGACAACATGAAATATTCAAGCTGTATTGTGGTGTAAACTTTTAGCTACACATTCTTCCACTTTTTATGAGAATAACTCCAAGAATGTGTTTCTATATAAGGTCCTTACATTAAGGACAACATAAAAATAAAAAAACCTCATAAAACATTGCAGTAAGTACGTGGAGAAATAAACAAACAGAAAATCTGCCGGAAGTAATTTACAACCAGAAGATCTTACCTATTAAATGCGATAAAGTTTCTAAAGGAAGACGTTATTGGAGCATTTCTTTTATCTATACTTTTACAAAAATTTTACTAGATTATCCGAGTAGTTATAATAAAATAGGAAAAAAGCAAAATAAACACCGCACTTCAGTTTTTTCTATCTGTGGTGAACTTCAAATCTGACAGTCGTCGAATTGACGTCTTGACGTCGGAGCTGCCAAAAGCAAATGGCCAACTTGATTTCGTTCAGTAATGCCAAATGTTTTAAGAAGTTAGTACCTAGCAATTTGGGCAATCTTATCTTTATTAGAAAAGTATATAACGTGCGTCTTAAAGTGTACCTTACATTTAATGCATGTCGCAAACTGATAAGAATTTGGAAGATTTGATAGGAAATTAGAAGTTGGTGTAAACTGTCAAATATAGATGAATTTCCCTTGCACTAAACAAAATGAAAAAAAAAAGTTACATGAGATGGACTAGGTACGCAATATCTTGCAGAAAATACTACCGCGCGAAACCTAAACGTGGACGATCAACCAACAGACACCCCGCTCCGGTGCGCATCCCCCGCGACGCTAAAACTAGTGTTTTGTTTTGTTTGGTTGGTCAAGGAACGGTTTCCGGGCAGTTGTGAAACGTCGTCTTGTTTGGAAAGTGATGTGATGTGTGTGGGATAAGTTGTCTAATATAGTCTCTGTGGGAAAGTAATTAGATTTTTATTCTGTGCTGCGGGCGCCCGCCGTTTCCGATTTAATTATTCTAGTGTTATTTATTTTTAATTTAAACAATCTAAATTAACTTATGGCAATGAAGTATAAGTAATAAAGTCTATGCAGTTGAGACGAACTCCCACATTGGTTTTAATTAAATGTTAATTAGAAATGCGAAAGGTTAAATAGCGTCTGTTTAAATAGGTTAGTCTAAGACCACAGAGCATGTAATTATATCTAAGACTGGCTAGGGCTGCAGTGCAGTCGTTGTATGAATTTAATCTCTCGTAATTGCAAGATTGTTGAATAGTAATTACAAATAAATAAAACCGCTAAAATGAGTGATGAAAAAGTGAAGATGCGAAAGCAGCTCGGGCTGCTGGAAGGTGTCGCTATTATTTTAGGAATAATATTCGGCAGTGGTATATTTATATCGCCCAAGGAGGTTTTGGAAAAAACGGGGTCGGTATGGGGCGCACTGTCTGTTTGGGCCGCTTGCGGAGGCCTAGCAACCCTTGGGGCCATGTCATATGCAGAGTTGGGTAAGTACCCGTCTATTTTTAATTAGAAAAATCACATTTATTTTCTAGTTCTAATATATTATTATTATAAAATTTGGAACAGATTTCATGGACATGACCATTTACTAACTAAATGAAACAGCCACATTCTCTAAATATTTAAGCCTACATCCTCTTTTTATTGTAGTAATAAATGAAAATAAAATAATTATTGCTTTGTAACTCAGGTACTACATTGGCACAGAGTGGTGGCGACTACCATTACATTAATGAGGCCTATGGACCTTTACCAGCATTCCTCTACTTGTGGGACGCTAACTTAGTATTTGTGTAAGTATTAATATTTGTTACTACTGCACTTGTTCCTTATTCCCTTCCTACTGAAGTTTGTGACTCCGCTGACAGCCAACCATCACACCTACCTATCTAATATAGCAACTAAAATCCTATTACCTTGGCTTAGCGTAATTAATAAAATCATTTTAACTGTTTTCTGGGCTAAAGCATAATTATCTGCTACTGCATATTTTTAATAAGATCGAATACTTTCAATCTTATTAAAAATCTGTTTTAATACATACCAATTTGAATGCACCCGCGACATTCTTCTATGTACAAAATTTTCATGCTATGCTATGCTATAATTATTATGTATGTATGTATTATAATAAAACTGTAGAAGTGTAAATTCAGTACATTGAAAATATAAAAAATTCTCTAATGTGATTGTTATTGTAATGCAATCCAATTGAAACAATATCAATAAGTACTCAACCTTTAAATTGCATGTATGGAACTCTTTAATTAAGTTGCAATCTTCATGATCAGTGTTATGAACCAGTCGATTTATTGCTTTTATTGATCATGAACTGGGTTGAACTTGTATTATGATGTGAACTTTGGCTTTCGTAGTAGCTATGGCTAATAATATTTTTAAATATTTTACGTATTGTTATTGATAGTGCAAAATGGGGTAGGTTTTGTTATACAATGTTTTGATAATAATGTGTTGATGCGAATTAAAGTTAAAAAGAATTGGCTGCATTTATGAGATATGCAGAATTATCCAAATGGATGATGATGGTTTTGCACTATAAATGACTATATTTCACCTTTTAAAACAACGAAGTTATCCTTGAACAAACAAACCTAAAAAATCACTTGAATGCCTGAATTGGGAAAGCTTTATTAAAATATTTAGTTCATATTTTCTATTATTTTGAGAACTATTAAATAAATGCTATATTTGTTTTAGGCCGAGTACAAACGCTATAATGTCACTGACCTTCGCCAACAACATTCTGGACCCAATATTTCCCGACTGCCCCATAGACCCCTTGTGTAGAAAACTTATTGCAGCTGTCACTATATGTAAGTATCAAGGAAACTTTATTTTTCTGATTATTTTGACTATTACAGGTATTTTTGAGGGCCTGTGCTGTGGTTATTATTTCAAGTGTAAAATAAAACCAATCATGTTCTACAATAAATAACAAGCTTCGTTAGCTTGTCATCCCCGCGGGATGATAAGCGCGCCTTATATTCTCATTAAAAAAAAACGAAAAACATATAATTACAATTAAGTCGAACTTCTTTATATCAGGTAAGTACAACAAAAATAGCTTTTCCTGTTTTTATCTTTGTATGGAAAAAAGAAGCCTATATCCCTTTTCCAGCCTTCTACTAACTACCTCGAGACAGCCGAGATACATAAATCGTACCACAAAAACGCTCAGTTGCGACGTATATGAAAAACTAGCGGCCCCCCGTGCGAAGCCGGGACGGGCCGCTAGTTTTTAAGATTTTTTACATAGTTTTACGTTTTATTTATATTTATTCTCAGTTTTTTTTTAGCGACCTGCCCTCCGTTGTCGATGTCGCGTCTTAAGGTAACCGATTGAACAATTCAAAAGTTATCTAGAGCAAACTTTTATAAGGATTGAACCATTCATTAAAACGATTGTTATGGGTAAACTATAAAAGGTAGACATATGCTCTCGCGGACTTTTTTAAAAATAATGTTAAGATAAACAATTCATCTATAGAACATTTTTGTATAACTTTAACTATATGCTCAGCGCACGCCACGGAAGGCCTCAGAAACGATACTTTTCTCCCGTTTTTAAAACATTTTTGGTTACTGCTCCACAACTATAGGACCTAGCGTGATATTATATAGCCTATGTTACTTCTGAATAATGCAGCTTTCGAATGGTGAAAAAATTATTGCAATCGGTTCAGTAGTTTTTGAGTTTATTCATTACAAACATACAAAAATACAAATCTTTCCTCTTTATAATATTAGTATAGACAAACATACCGTCGCTGTATACATTATTTATATTAATAAGGAAAGATTTAATAGTTTAGTTGAGGACTTATTAGAAACCTCTAAGAATTTATTGTAGGTAGTTTTGTGGTAACATTCTTGGAATTATTGTTTGCACAGGTCATTTGCGTACCATTATTATAGACTGTTTCAATCACTCAGTATTTTAAATACCTACAAGGAAATTACCGATTTGTAATCAGAACTTATGTACAAGTACACACTTCATTACAAATGTCATCTTGTCCTCAAAAATCCACTTAACGCAACATTGTAAGAATGAGAAATTATATTATAATTTATGTGCATATCTAATTATTATTGTGATGTAACTATTATACAATATAATGATCTGGACAGAACGCGTAGTTTTGGCTATTTTAAAAACAGTTTTGCAATCGCGTTTGTATCTAATACGAAGATTAATCTCAAATCATAGAAATCTTACTTTGAATGGTTATAGACTTAAAAGATGTTCATCCGTATAGGTAGGCTAGAATGGATTTTTATGGAATAAGCAATTGGCGTCGCCCATGGACACCTGGAACTCCAGAAGCGACGGAAGTGCGTCACCGGCCTTTTGGGATTTGGAATTTGAGGATTGTTGGGGATTCAAGGATTGGAAAGGGTTGGATAATTGGGCCTCCGGTAACCTCACTTACACGACGAAATACTACGCAAGCGTTGTTTCACGTCGGTTTTCCGTGAGGCCGTGGTATCACTCCGGTCGAGCCGCCGTTCGCGCTGAAGCATGGCGCTCCCACACTTAAATGGAACACAGATCTGATATAGCACACTCATGATCCTCAATTCATGTTACTTTGTTGGTACTTAATATACTCTAGGGGAACATTGAATGATCGTTCCTGCGAAATTATTATTGTTGTTACTATTACTAACATAGTGTATCTACAAAACAATAGCGTATTACTAGAACTCCAAAACAATGCGAATCTAAGTACCGTTGACTCTGCTAATACGTAAAGGTTATTCACCTTTACTCTCAAAACATAGCTTGCTTGGATTAACATAACTCGTTATGGTATACTATGTGAACTCTGATATTTTCATATCTGATAAAAAATATAGGTACAACGGTGTAATAAAGTATAATAAATAATAAGGCAGCTCAACTTTGTCGCAGTTAGACATCTTCGACGGAAAGTCACCTGTGAGGGAGATGCAGTTTTCCTGTTATATTATTGTTAGTCCCATTTTTAAGACGCTATGTGGTATGCCGTGGTGGACATAATATAATCGTACAGTATAGGATAACGAATGAACGAACTTTGGCTGTACATTTTCATCAGCCACGCTTGCCAGGAATTATGAGAAATATTAAAGAAGTAATTATCTGGTTTATCATCAAGACCCTATGTCCTGTATTTACACATTTGTACACTGTCCATAATGCTGTATTGTTTTGTCGTACAGGTTTCCTCACGTTCATAAATGCATACGACGTCAGATTTACGACCAGGATCCAGAATGTGTTCATGTTCACCAAGATTACGGCGCTCGTCATCATTATAGTCGGCGGCATCATCTGGATGGGCAAAGGTAAACAAAACATGTATCTAAACTCTAGTCTAGTTTTATACAAATTTCACTAAGTTTCCATTCACGATCTAGAAAACGGTTATCGTAACTTAAGTAAGAAGTACCGCTCCACCTACTTTAATACTTCACTTTACAACTTAACTAAGTTTCCGCTCATACTTAGGCTAGAGGTACTTGGGTATTTTCTGAATCACGAGCGTAGTACAACATTAATTAACTAACATAATCGTATGTCATCTTGTTCTAAAGCAGCTCTTCTATACATCACACTAATATTATAAATATGAAAGTTTCTTTGTTTTGATGTGTGTCCGTCAATCATGCTGAAACTACTGAATGGTTTTTGATGAAATTTGTTATACAGGCAGGGTCGGAGCTGACTTAGGTGATAGATATTTTCGTCGCGAGTAAATGCTCCCATGGGATGAAACAGGAATCATATTCTATGTGGACGAACAGCTAGTACTATACATATAATATTATACACAATACCTATTTTACGTTTTCCGCCTTTATGGGCGTGTAGATAAACCAATTAAACATTTCGCGAACTACAATCAATGTTTGTTTTAAAAACTGATGTCGAATTTATATTTTTGTTACTGAAGAAGTATCATGAATATTTTGAATCTCATCAATCAAAATTGACGGTTCATATTATATAGGTATTGAAAATTTATAAAATAAAGACAGCTCACAATGCAAGACATAAAAATAAATAAAACCTTTCAGATTGAACATCAATATGTTTTGACGCATTAAAAACGTAGCGCTTGATGAAGCGGTACGTATGGGACGGGGTAACTAAGTGTAAATTGCAGGTGGAGCTAGATTAAATGTCGAGAGCGTCCTAGATTAGCGTCCAGAGGCGTCGTTTATTTTTTACAGTGACATCTCAAGTGGCGCTATATAACCTCGTGACTTATTTAAGACCTGAGGATATTAAAAACTTTAATACATTACCTCTAGTCAACTATAATTTGTCTTAGAAATAATCTAAGAATGATTACGAGTACAATCATTTTATAGAAGAACTTTGGTTCCAGTCTTCACCACGATTATAAAACAAGGCTATATTAACTATACATATTACTAATAGACTTTTTATTTAGACTAATATCATATTAGTCTATTATATTATAACATTTCTTACTTTGTTTACTCTGAAGTTACCATTCTTACTCGCAATAAGACAATCATCAAAATCTGAAGAACTAAGTAGCATTCAATGATCCGTCTTAACCGATTCCTTTTGATACACTGTGACTTATCACAATTTGATTATAACAAATCGATTTTAAACGAAAGAAATAATCGAAGTCGCTGCGCTTAAATTGAATTTCTTTAACCAGTTTTGCATTCACATCTAAAACATAGGTATTAACGATTTATTTTTCCTGTTAGAACTGTTTACCTATTACAGCGTTATTTGTTAGCTTAATGGAGATCCGAAATATGTAGGTACCTAAAAACTATTTGCTCTGTGCTGATGACTTCAATCAATATGTAGAATCGGTTATCTTCTACTGTCGGGCTTTATGAAATAAATACGCACTTTAAATATCATATTCGTGAGAACAATAATTATTATGATGAAGATTGTCATACTCCGTTTGAGAATAATAACATGTTTGTGGGAACGGACGGCTGTTTAATTATACAGGATTCATCTTAACTGGACAAGTATTAAGGATGCTACTGTATGTACTCTCCAATCGTTTATACGATGAACTAAACGATATTTAATATTAATGGTTCAAAAGCTTTGTTTTCGAACTTAATGTGTTTTAGAGTGTACAGGTTCGAACAAATACATCCTTTAGGGTCATTAACCTCCGTAGGGGTATCGGACGTTGAGGGAGTAACGACCAGACGCCCGAAACAAGTCTTAAAAGCACTCAAACAAAATCTTAGTATTATTGGAGGTGGTTGAATTATTCTGTCGTTCCAGAAGAACAAACAATTGTAGACCTTAGGGTAGAGTGATTTCGGTTTTATATCAAAACCTTTGAACTTAACACACCTACATATCCATTAGATGAGATTTTAGAAATAAGAAAATGTCATCTATTTTTCTTTTTAAGAATGTTCAAACAATCGTGAGATGTGTTTACATAGCCGCGCTCCCTTATTAGACACACAACGCTGTGACTAGACAGTAGACCGGGTAGACAGAGTAACGACCGAAACCCTTTGTTAGGCACGATGGTCACGTGTACATCCAATCATTTGCAAACATCATTTGCAAACATCTGTCTGATTTGATTGTCGACGTTGTTTAGGGTTCCTTGTGATTGTGAGCTTCTTTATCATTTAGCCGTGTGGCAGCCGTATTAAAAATACTATTGATACCACCTCTTCCCGCGGCTGATGTAAGACTCTACGAAGAGCCTTCTCTGATGAACCTGATCCACTTACACTATGATCTCAATCCATCTGCCATCCGTAGAGATTTTGGCAAACCCTACTTTTGTAGATGAGACATAATCCAGTATTGTACTCTTACTATAATGTTATCTTCATCACCAACAGCCCGTTGATGAAGAAGATAACATTGTTTAATATTTCTCTAACAGAATGAAAAATGTGTGTCTTTTTGTTTAAAAGGTGGGACTGAACACTTCGAGGATGGATGGGCTGGCACGAAGTCATCGGTCAGCGATTGGTCCGTTGCATTCTACTCCGGTATCTTCTCATATTCAGGCTGGTAAGTGTAATAATTGTAATATTAACTTCATTTTTCCACTTTGTATAACGAAGATGATTGACAATCCAACATCGATTCCTTCAATGTGAACATAAAACAAACACTAATATTTGTATTTGTGACGCACAATCCTACGTATTAAACGAATACTTTTAAAATATAGTTTTATCATGGAAAGCTACTAAAGAATGTGCCTTTTCGGCCAATGTTAGTTATAGTTTCTTTACGTTTAGTGTAAAAAACATCGTACGCAGTGTGTTAGATTGAGATTGTGAATAAAATCAGGTTAATAGGTTAACACTAGAGCTGGCAGATTGCCTAAGAACACACCAGGAACTCACGTGACAAAACACGTCTCAATAAATTGGACGGGTTTTTATACAACGTTTTATTACTAGAAAGACACTTACTTATATATAGATTTTCTACTTTACAGCATTATGCATTAAATAACCAGTAGAATTCTTAATTAAGGATACAGGTAGGGAATGCAAATCTTGCGAGTGTGGGGCTTTTAACCGAGATCTTGCGAGATTTTAAAATACTTTCTCGTGAGATCTCAAAATTGGTAGCGTTGTATGTTTTTTTGCAATTAATAATCATAATATTTGAATAAATTAAGAAAAATAATGACATTATAAAACAAATATTTTTGTCACAATTTTTTTTCGAATAAACTTTTGTGCTTTGATAATCAATAACTTTTTGTCGTATCAATTTTTTTAAACATTGTCCCAAAATAGGATTTTCTCCTGTGTCGTGGGTGCGTTTACAAACATACAAGTTCATATACATATCACACACAGACCCGAAACAACAATTTGTGGATCACACAAAGTGTTGTTCCGTGCGGGAATCGAATCCGCGACACGTTGCACCATTTATAATCTAAACTTATATAGGTATATTGAATTTTTTTTGATGTGAATGATAATTGAACAGAGAAACCATAAATAAATAAAATTTCTGTTCGATTGCACATTCATTTGATTTGAAATATTACTTTTTTTACGCGAACGAAGTTGGCGAAAATTTGCCCATCTTTCGACCGAGATAAATCTCGCTAAAAAGGACGAGATCTCGCGAGATCGAGATTGCTTTCCCTAGCATACCTACAGGTAATGGTGCATCTTGTGCCGGGAAAATAAAATATAATTATTACTCAGAATCTCACGATAACAAAACAGGCAAGCAGGTTTAATAGCTATGGGATTTACCGATAAAATATAAAAAAAACTAATTCACGACCATATTATGGTACCCATACGGCACTAAGTAAGGTTAAAGTTTCAAATAAGGAAACTCGTAAATAGAAGTGCTTATTGGCTGTGGAAAATAACTTGGTGCTTGTGTGGTTTTAGGTACCTACTTGTTTTAAACACCTAAGTAGCAGTTCAATGGTTGTTTGATCTATCAATTATTACACATCTGTAATACAAAGTTATAAAGAGGAAATTAGTCATTGAAAAAGATAAAAGAGCTTCGTGATAGTATTCCAACGATAGTAGAAGATATGTCTAGATCGATTACCGTCTTTATACATTTTTCGGGACACTGGCATGGTTCTCGGCTGCCAAGGTTTTCCTACAATATGAGGGGTTCTTCAAGACAAGAGTAAATAGGCCACGGTAACCATCAGCGTATTCTTTTTTAAAAGGCCGGCAACGCACATCCTTCTCTGGTGTGTCCATGGGCGGTGCTGATCGCTTACCATCATGTGACCCGTCTGCTCGTTTGCCTCCTATTCCATAAAAAAAGATAGGCCGTGTGTTTTTGGCTATCGTCGGCGTCATGGTATAAAAAAGGTAATAATATAATAGTCTGACGGCTTTTTCTGACCCAGGAAAGGGTTTTCCATGGGGATATTTTTAGTCTGATAAGGTCAAATAAGGTCTCAATATTTGTCATATCAGCCACAAAATATCCACTATGGAACGTAGACAATAATAAAATACCAGACTCAGTCTTAGTATCCTCTAAACAAATAATCTTTATTTTTAACTTGTTAGTTTAAATAGACAAAATGTAATGCTACCGTCGATGTAAAGGCAACGCCTTGTTATTTACATAGAGTTTTGTTTAACTATTTGCGTATTCAAAGCACGTTAAGACAGGACTAGGCTAGTCTTAAAAATGCTGTCGCAATATTACGTTGTCTACGTCGACTATATCCGTGTGATAAATTTTGCTTGTTCTCTATTTATTGATTTTATTGTATTTAAATTAAGACTCGTTTTAAACTGAGTCTTAGAAGAATAATAATTTTAATGTAACATGACGTCACATTTTGTGATCACCAAAATATTAGATACCTATGTACAGGTAGAGGTGAACTAACTCGCATTTTTCACCAGGTATGTTAGAAGTTGGTAAACCTATTGCCATACACCAGCGAAATTCTAAACGTAGGTACCCGTCGCGGAGAACCTAACGGGTAACCGGGGCTCCGGCTCGACGTGCAGGAGAAGGAACGGGGTGGTTTTTAGTCAGTAAGAGTCTGACACTCCCTTCCGCCTCACCCAGGCGGGAGCAGTCATTCGATGATTTTCCCCCCTTAAAAAAAAAGGCTTAGGTACCCAGTACGAAGAATATTCGAAGATCCAAAAAAGCCTAATTATTATGTCTGGCAATACCCAAGAAGAGAGAGAATTAGTTAATTTAAACGTCAATAAGTATTTTAACATCCGTTATTCGAACACGTTTATCACCTTTTTGCACGGTGAACGGAGTATGTGAGGGCAATGGAATGTAAATTAAAACTTAATGCACATGCCTGATATTGTATTATGCATCGGATGACTAGTCTCAACTGTCGATGACCGTCCACGAACATGATGCGAGCAGCTCAACCATCTGGAAGGGAATCATGTGACCTAATTAGTACCCTCTTTGTTATCAACAGAACTTTAGTACCATTGTAACTAACACTGACTTTAATTTACAAAGTTTCAACTGGTTATGTGATCCAAGTAATTAAATAATAGGTCTCATTAGTCGAAAGGCAAATAAATACAGAGCAATACGCTTGAGTCCTATTCAGCATTATCCTTATCCTTACTAATATTATAAATCTGAAAGTGAGTTTGTTTGTTTGTTCCACCTTCACGCCGTAACTACTCAACCGATTGCTTTGAATTTTTGCAGACGTAAAGTTAGAAGTCCGGATTAAATAATAGGGTACTTTTTAACCAGGAAAATTGATATTCCCGAGGAAAAACAAAAGTATTGGTATAGATGGCGCTGTGTGTATTGGTATATGTCACATTAGGCTACTTTTTATTCTTTTGTGACGCGAGCGAAGCCGCGGGTAAAAACTAGTATTAAATATATTTTCCATTTTTCAATTAGTATTCTAATTAGTTAAACTGATTCGGGTAGAAGAACGTGCAAACGTTCGATACATGCCAATAGACTCACCCTCTAATAAGTATATAGGACTCAGCGAAATGTGGATGTTACATTGAATATGTACAGATTGTTCAGTTACACAAATGTTGATAGTATTTAGTATCAGCACGGGTCACTGAGCTGTGCTGATTAGACACGAACAATGGAAGCCACAATGCATTAGCCATAATGAAACAAGCTATGGAACTTGTGCATGTAATTAATCTGGTTAAATGTGACTGATGGATGCTGTTAGAGTAACTTTACACAAGACAACAATTCGATTATTATAGATTTGGACCTCTATTATGACTGTATAACACAATCATGTCATAGCAATCATGCCAATCCTCTTATCGTTGGAACCCATAGCGGTTTCGGAAAAAGAATTGGGGAAGACAAAATCTTCTTCGGACTCATCTACAGAGTTTTATACTGTACCTAATCGTAAAAATAGTGCTGTTTTGTAGGCTATTTACAAAAATAAATTCATTATTTCAATTTTATTTAACATTTAGGCAACACTTAAGTAAGAGTATAATTTCTACAGACGTAACACTTAAGTAAGAGTATAATTTGTCCTATCATCTTTTCTTTAGGAACTACCTAAACTTCATGACAGAAGAACTGAAGGATCCCTTCGTGAATCTTCCGCGAGCGATCTACGTGTCCCTGCCCATGGTGACCGCGATATACCTGCTGGCTAATGTCTCGTACCTGGCCGTTCTCGGGCCATTGGGAGTATTGGCTACTGAGGCTATAGCCGTGGTAAGTGTCGAAAATGGCTTGCTATATAATAAAGAAGCACCCTGGACACTGACAAAAGAGGAAACCTTATTGTTCACCTAAACGTACCTACATTATTTCATTTAGGACTTTGCAACGTCTTGCCTGGGTTTCCTACGATGGGCGATGCCTACTCTGGTCGCTATCGCCATTCTGGGCGGTCTGTCCGTGCACATCATGACATCATCACGCATGTGCTTCGCCGGCGCCCGCAACGGACACATGCCCGAGTTACTAGCCCACATCAATGTCAAATGCATGTCACCGATGCCTTCACTTGTGTTTTTGGTAAGTTGTTTATTTTTTTAATCAAGTTTTTTTAGATCAGCAAGCATTCTCAAGACCTAAAAGCATTCTCTGCTAGTTCAAAGAAGTAAATGGTGCAGTTCTTTGCAGTTACAGCACAAAATGTTGAGAAATTGTCGATATGAATTTTCTTTGTTACGCCATAAACATGAACAAACTAAGTGTCATTTCGAAGGCCATTTATGATTAGTTACAGGTCTGTACACAAACTAATTTAGATATGAATAATGGCGTCGCGTTTAGACGAGAAAAGTTAGGTTTATGTTTATAAATCTTAATTTGTACGTTTACAGTACTAATTTGAATAATTCTCGAATGTCCATTCTTAGTTAATAGATCATAACCAATTACGATCACCACATCATCAATCACTTACATATTCGAATACTGTATTTTTCCATTACTCAATTTTCTACAGTGACATTCTGACAATGATACATCGTTATGCATTTGAACACTTATCGATTGAATGTACGACTGTACGCATCCCACCATGACGAGAGATACTCTAGTGATGAAAGCTTCGCTTTACTACGCGCAACAGATCTGTGTAATGGACAAGGGATTACAAATGGATACATTGTTTCTAAATGATGGATTTAATCCTAGGTGCCTATGTGCTTGTATACAAACATGTATGTAACTCGCTGCTTCTATCTGAATTCGTTCGTTAGTGGAGATTAGTGCTTTGTTTACACATAAATCACATTTGGGGGCTTCTGTAATCTAATCTCATGTGCTCATGTATCACGATTTTGTATGAATTTAGGCTAAAATATAGATAACGACGTCAAACAATTCTAGGAATCTGACGCTCATGCCCCCCGTAGCAGTCAACTTACTGATGTCCTTGAAATTAGCTGCGTCAAGAAGTTGTTATTTCTATATCTCACCATCAGGTGTTTCGTCTACTCATTTGCCTCCTATACCATAAAACAGCTGCCTACAACGCGTGGTCTTTGTAGCAACCTCTTGTTCAGCAGTAGACGTTATCTATCTAATAATTATTGTATTTTATGTAGATGCTGATCTCAATTCTGATGTTAATCCCGAACAACTTGACATCGCTAATCACTTACTGCACGGTGGTGGAGTCCTTCTTCACCACGTTGAGCTGCAGTGCAGTGCTATGGCTCCGGTACAAGAGGCCTGACCTACCAAGACCTATCAAGGTAAGTGACCACTATCCTCAAGTCTCCTATCGCGTCTGTCTGGTTCTCGGTCTATATGAACCAAGGGAATTTTTGATAGTTTTTCAGTTTTTACCAATAGAAAATTAGAAAGTGTGATATTCGAGAAAGGTTAGGTGTGCATGAGTTTTCACCGAAGTGCGATAAATTGACCCTGTTGTCGTATAATTCCAGGTGCAACTGTGGATGCCGATAGTATTCGTGAGTATAAGCGCGGTACTGCTGGTGGTGCCGGTGGTGAGCGAGCCGGTGGCCGTCATTGCCGGCGCGCTGATGACACTCGCCGGAGTCCCAGTGTACTACGGCCTCGTGCGCTCCAAGCCAAAGTTCGTCGAGACTGCTTCTAGTAAGTGCTATTCTTTACTGAATATTCGTCATTCTTTGTGCTCTATTTATTTTTCGTTAAAGCTCTTAGCTGACTAAAAGCCAAAACGAAATCGATGACAGAAGTTATAAAAACAATTACTTATATAAATATTTACCTGCGTTATTCTAGCCAGACAGGAGTTTTACACATTTGCGAGTTTTTTTTTAATGAAACGTTGCGCCACACTAGGATTTTCTCCAGTGTCGGGGGTGCGTTTATAAACATACAATTTGGCATATGCTAAATTAACAAATAAATTTACAAATTGTGGATAACACAAAGAGTTTTTCCATGCGGGAATCGTACCAACTACACGTTGCGCGGCTATCACCGCACCTTAATTTTAATTTATTGTACTACTTACTAAGTGTGTACAATAACATATGTAATAAGTATGTACAGTGCAATCTTTGGTCAGCAATTACATTTTAAAATCAGTATCATATTTGTGTTACAGCCAAATTCACTCACTGCTGTCAAAAGCTGTTTCTGTCTGCCGTCGAAGAAAAAGAAGAGTAGATTATACCTGAGATAAGTACGTAACATTATGTACCCAGTAGTGTAGTGATTAAAGTACTATCTTCATGTCAATACCATGTCATATTCGTAGCAATAATTTAGGTACTTAACATGTACTTATAATGAATGTCTAAAAGCGACTTTATTGTTCAATTAATACGCTATAATATAAAGAAAACTTTTTAAAAGGGTTCTGTCAATACCTTTGTAGTTTTGTATGGCGCATTTCACGCGTCTTGTATTCGCGTTTTAAGTATACTTACTAGTAGATATTAAGTTGAACTCTATACCTTAATTCGAGTCGGAAATATTGATTTTAAATTATGGCGAAGTGATGTTAACGTCACACCAACTTAGTATTACAATAACGTGCTATTATGGTATTCGATATATCGAAATCGATTATAACTAAGCGTAGCTATAATTCTTTGATATATTTGTAGTGTATATCTAAAATATAAATATCAAGTATTTTGTGTAGTGCTCCTTTTGTAATATCGTTGTACTTATAGTAGATTAGCTATTGCCCGCGACTTCGTCCGCGTAGAATATGCTTTCTGTTTTATCCCATGAGAGCATTTAATCGGCATAAAAAGTATCCTATCACATAAGTTTGCCCATACCCTACTATCCAAACAAAAAAACTCACATTTATAATTTATAATATTAGTGTGATTTCGAATGAAAGGTCCTCCAAGATACACCATGTCGTAACTAACGTAAAGTTATTACACAAATAACTTGTATATGCATTCTTGATTTCTGTGACTAGAGTCACAGAATACAGGGAATGACAGTTACCGACGTGTGAATGGTGTACACTAATTAGTCGGGCCGACTGTACATATAGTGCTTGTCTCCATTGAATTACAGTGGGCATACAGTGACTTTGGACATCAATATTCGATAATGAAATTATTCTGTACCATAGGTCTAAATCTTCAATTAATGTATTCGCTAAAAGCTCTCATTTTTGACTGATATAATAACAAATTGTGATATCTAAAAGTTAATTAGAATTTCTACCTACCAAATTATCGATTAAAGTTTAAAGTCTTCATACTATGGTATAAAAATAATTCTTTTTCTTCGTAAAATATATAAATATCTCATAATTATACCTTTCGGAGATAAGAGAAAAGTGATGAAAATCTCTCCCGATTTATGAAACTAAAATTTGTGTAATGTACAGAACAATAGTTATTTCAGTATGATTAAGCGTAATTATATTACTGTAGCTATTAATCGTAGAGCAATTACTTAAGATGAAATCTCTCTTATTATACATAGGCTTATATTAGTGTTTAGTGTTGTATTGTACATCTTAAACTCGAATAAATTGCAATCTTCCTAATGGTGCGATTAGAAATTGGTCGTACATTGTGATTTTTGAAGATACACATCACTAATACGATTTATGTGAGCACTGTCGACTTTAAAGTTATCGATACCAATGAACGACTCGGATTATGGTATAAGCACCTTAATTTAGTATACCGCGCTTTAATATTTAGCTTTATAAAAAGCATACTTGATAATATGGTCTTTGTAGCGATAAGTATGTCATAGTCATTTATATAACAAGAGGCTTATATTCAACGGTACGTCGTACTTACGTATATTGAACTGAATGTATTAAGAAAGTTCTGAATTGAATCTATATTTTCTAATGTAATATTTTCGGGTGCCATAAAATATGGTAACGTAGAAATAAGTCATGTGTAGTGTACATGCTCTATCTTTGTATATGGGAAATTTTTAACTTCTTTATTCAATCTTCTAGATCATTAGGGGCGTTGCGGGGTGTTGCAGTCGCTTTGTGATATCTTGGTCTTTGCGGATGACGTTTGGTATTTGAATTGAAGTTTCACTACAGATATGGTGCTGATTAAATTGTGTAAAAATATCGATTGAATTATTTAACCGATAAATTCTACATACAAAAATGAATCGATTAGAGCATAAAATGAGACGATTCATTTCTATCAAAATTAAAATATATAGACTTTTAGTGGCTACTAACCATATCGCTTATAATGCGCAGGCCCATCTTGCTCATTATTTCGTATGCACAACTTTGTTATACATATTATACTAAAATACATTATAATTAAAAAAAACATGTTTAAAAACTAAATATACAACCAAACATAAAGTCGTAATTAAATACTATTCAAAATTAATCGTAATAAAACATGCATCAGCCCCTGTGGTATTAATGTCAATATTTAACAATTTTAATAGTAATACTTTTTACGGTTAAATATAAAAAGAAATTATATGTCGATATCAGAATCTAAATATTATTTGTTTATTTATTAATTCGAGTTAATTATTGCTAAAATTGGTTTTATATTTTCTACAAAATAAAACTAGCGTAGAATGGATGGCGTCATCGTTAAGCCTTTGACTGCCAACATAAAACTGTTGAAGGCAAATCCTCCGCTAACGTAGATCACTGGTGACCTACGCGGCGGTTAACGTATTAACCCATGAAAGACCAAAGCGACTATAGTAAGTATTACAGTTGCAAATGCGTCTTATGTAAGAGTCTCATTTCAAACATATGCAGTGTTACATTTTATACTAGTCCGTTACGACCCTCGCTGTACCCTTGTCACCGGTCTGTAAATATAACCACACAAACATGAACTTTAGTATGTAAAGCAAATCTTACATGAAGTTAGCAAGCAACATAATTATTGTTTTCTAACATTACCTATTTGCAATATTCCACTACGCCCATTTCATACTAGTTTTCTGTCTCAATCTTTCAAGTAAAGTTTACTCTTAAATATTCTACCTCATATTGTGAAATCTTTCAATATTTTCATACTACGCATATAAAGGTGGATATAATCCGGCTGTCTACTGATAAATATAAGTACTTACAGTTTGGTATCTTGTAAGACTGAAGCAGATTGACTCTTCGATTACTTAACTACTGTATTTCTTTCTACCTTTTATTTTGATGGTCTAACATCACTTTATATTCTGTAATAAAAATATTTTATGTTCTTTATGTAACACCTAAGAGCGTGTAAGAGTAAATATTCAAATAATGTACTTAAACAGTCAGTGCTCAGCTGTTCTAAATGTTTTCGATGAACTGAAATTAAGTAACTGGTTTTGATTAATCTAGCTGCTCAAAAGATCTTTAGCAGATACATTGTTAGGAACAAATGGTTCATAGTAAAGTGTAGCCTTTTTCGTTCAATTTGCAATCAAGGTTCATCAGACTGAAGTTTTTGTATGTAATTAAAATTGTGCCTTACAATGTAGCGAGCTGACGTTCCGAATACTGCTCTCAAGGACATTAATTGTAACAACTTGTAATCTATTTAACATGGTATCTGTAACGCTCTCTTTGTCTTATTATTTATTGTGTATTCAAAATTTAATTTATCGGATTAAACACGACTCAGTCATATTTTAATGTAAAATACAGTATTTTATTGTTAAGGGTTTTTAAAACAATCTATAAAATAATATTTTCGGAGCTTATGTCGAAATTTATATTTGTAAACATTTTGTACGAGATTCTTGTACATATTTGTGTATAAATTGTATTTACCTTTGCTCTTTTCAAAAGTACCCGTAATAGGAACGTAAGAATTTATCTGAGATACTTAAACCGACTGTCTATAATATTCTTATAATTGCTATGTATTTGTGAATACTACTAGCATTTTGTCGCTTTACAGTCTAATGAACCAGTTATTGGTAAATTACGCATAGGTTGATGTATAGTTTAACAAATACTGGCAGGCGGCACAGAGCAGTAACCTGCTGTATTGTAGAGTAGAAGGCAACAGTATATTGTCGTTGCCGTACATTTCTTCGTAGAGTAGTGAGCCCCTTGTACTCGAAGCTGTCGGCTGTGGGGGCGTCGCGAGCTGGCTACCGGCCGGCGCTCACCACACCCCTTCCTTCCTAATTCCTTTGTACAAATGAAGATCCTTTTTCTATGAAAATGGCTAATCACCAGTGTGCCTGTTACAAAAGTCAGTAGTGTATATTGCATTATAACCCTGCTTTGGCGCGGGGACGAAACATCACAGTTTATTTGTCGTCGATGTTTGCCACAAATAATTGCTTTAATTTTTAATATTATATTATATAACTGCGTGGTAACTTGTAGTCATTGTGTAATCAGAAAAAGTTAGTATGTAGATTATAAATATTGACTGATGATCGAATACATACGTGGACATGAGGTGCATTTTATAGTTATAGACATAATAATAATGTTTAGCTTACCCTTATATGTGCGAATATAGTAGATGTAGGTACATATATCAACTTTGTGTAGTATTTCAATTAAATAGTGTTGCGTTTCGGCCGTAAGATCGTCACTGTATAGACGAATCAAAATTTGTACGTTAATGTAACAGTGTATTATCAAATATCGAATAAATAACATTTTACTATGTATTGCAACTAAGTATTATAGAGCTGGATTTTTTTGTTAGTAATAAATTATCGTTTGGTTGTGCAGTAAGTGTAATTTTATGTAACACAATTTTGTTGTTTATTTTGTTTAATTAATATTGTATTGAATCTCCGTTTGTATTATTTTAGACTGTGCAGAGTGTGCAGTGTTATGTTCATGTATTTGTGCCAAATAACTTTGTTTTGGTTTGGAAGCTTTTTAAAGTTTTAATAAAAAGTTGCTATAATTTATTGTTTTATTTAAGTAGAATGATATCTAACGAAACTCCTCAACGGTTAACAGTAGATACCTGATGTTTGGGCTTGATTAATTTGTATTGATGACAATTCGACACCCATGTGGGATATACATAGTATACTGAGTCTGTATAGCCTTGTAATAAACTAAAAAGCAAATAATGGTGTGGTTGTCATTAGTGACCTGATGATGAAGTAGTAGCTAAGGGAACTGCTCGAACTGCAAAACGGTAACAGTACCTACCTGGTCTTTGAACTTCAATAATTTGTATCGATGAGAATTTTACACCCATGTCGGATATACGTAGTTT